TTGATCTTGCCGCCCTTCGAAGTGTAAAACATTGTAGAGTCTTTCAAAGTGAGACGGCATACCCTCCGAAATGGAGCCAATGCGCAGAGCGAATTGCATGTGTCCAACCGTGGAAAAATTCAATACTTGATTTTTATATTTGAAGCCTGAGATAGAAAATCGGCAAAGCCTTGCGACGAAGCACTCCAAGGCTTGAATGCGTTCAACCCAGCCTTTCACTTCAGCATGCTTTGCCAGTGCTTTCAGCTGGAGAGACGTGCTCTCTGTCTCACTTTGCGGCCTTGGGGTGTGCAGGTTGGGCTTCAAGACGCACTTAGGTAAGAGCGAGCAAAAAGGCAGACACTTCTTGCGCACGCTGGCCAGGTTTGCCGTGGGATGTGGCAGTCTCATGTGTCATGTGTTGTCCATAGTGAAGGACGCAAGAGGACGCAAGAGGATGCAAGAGGATGCAAGAGGTAGGCAGGCGCATAGAAGTTGAGGAATCATGCTACGGTCGGTAAGAATTTTCAATCACTGCACCGATACTCCATTGGATAGTAGGTATAGTAGGTATAGTATGACAATACCAACGTGTTCGGCACATGATAAATGTATAGATAGTCCCGTGACATTCAGTCACATGCCTTTACATGTAGGCAAAAGAATTGCACATGCACATGGCGCGCAAATGCAAAAGAAACCCCTAATTTTCACCTTGTGGCTGCCAAGCATATATTATCCCTGCATGAAGCACCCTCTGGGATGAGTATGGGGAAGAATTGCCCCGTGAGCAGGTGGAGACAGTAAATTGATCTGGAAAACATGCCTCAAGTGCATCTCCCCAGCAGGAGAGCGACTTTGAAGGTGGCAAGATAAGGTGCAAAGCAAGTAAGTCAGTAAAAACAATTGGCGATGAAGTGAAGAGTCAGTGACAGAATGCATATTTAATCTAAGTCTAACAATATGAATCTTGGGCATGCTACACTGGCTGCAACTCTGTATAGACATTCTACCGAAGGTTTCTTCAGAATGAGCACAAAACTCAACATGCGTGATGAGTGTCAAAGCAAGAGTGGCTGTATGTACTTGATTTGGGGGCATTCTCGCAAACTAGGTAGAGGCGGCAGCAAATGAAAATACCAATACGCTTTACCCCTGTGCTCTTGAAAGAAAACTTTGAAAGCGAATTAAGTGATGAAAAATGGAAGAAACAGAGACCGAAGAGGAAAATGGAAACACTATCCTGGGAGTGTTCCCAAATCTCATAACTCAGAACCGCTTCAAGGAGTCCGTTGCGGTGTGCTAAGCGATACGCCGTTGTTACGCATGCTTTTGTGAGTCTAGAGTCTAGAGTCTGGAGGATGCTTTTTAAGTAAGTCTCTCTGCTCGACGTGCCCTGTACATAATCACATTTACAGGTAGTGCATTGCTTCCATAACATTGCTGTTCATACTGGCCTTTTCTTTTCCATCAATCAATTAATTGGATCTAATATTCTCGACGCGTAAGTCAACATTCATGGTGGAAAATTTAGTGATCAAGCCTCGTTTCGTTTGTACATGTTTATAGATTTATAGAAGATATTTAATTGCCTGCGGCAAGCCCGCCGGCCATAGCCATTTGGTGCATAGAGACGTTTTATATGAGCCTTCGGCGTAGTCGCAGACCGTGGCCTGGACAAAAACAAGGCCAGTGTGTGTGTGTGTAAAAGCATCTGTGCGTCAAAGCTGCTGTGTGTAAAAGCTTCTGTGTGTAAAAGCATCTGTGTGTAAAAGCTGTGGTGTGTAAAAGCTTCTGTGTGTAAAAGTGTCTGTGTGTAAAAGTGTCTGTGTGTAAAAGTTTCTGTGTGTAAAAGCCTCTGTGTGTAAAAGCTTGTGTGTGCAAAAGCGTCTGTGCGTAAAAGTTTCTGTGTGTAAAAGCTTCCGTGTGTAAAAGCATCTGTGCGTCAAAGCTGCCGTGTGTAAAAGCTTCTGTGTGTAAAAGCATCTGTGCGTCAAAGCTGCGGTGTGTAAAAGCTTCTGTGTGTAAAAGCATCTGTGCGTCAAAGCTGCGGTGTGTAAAAGCTTCTGTATGTAAAAGCATCTGTGCGTCAAAGCTGCGGTGTGTAAAAGCTTCTGTGTGTAAAAGCATCTGTGCGTCAAAGCTGCGGTGTGTAAAAGCTTCTGTGTGTAAAAGCATCTGTGCGTCAAAGCTGCGGTGTGTAAAAGCCTCTGTGTCTGTGTGTAAAAGCATCTGTGCGTCAAAGCTGCCGTGTGTAAAAGCTTCTGTGTGTAAAAGCATCTGTGCGTCAAAGCTGCGGTGTGTAAAAGCTTCTGTGTGTAAAAGCATTTGTGCGTCAAAGCTGCGGTGTGTAAAAGCTTCTGTATGTAAAAGCATCTGTGCGTCAAAGTTGCGGTGTGTAACCGCTTCTGTGTGTAAAAGCATCTGTGCGTCAAAGCTGCGGTGTGTAAAAGCTTCTGTGTGTAAAAGCATCTGTGCGTCAAAGCTGCGGTGTGTAAAAGCTTCTGTGTATAAAAGCATCTGTGCGTCAAAGCTGCGGTGTGTAAAAGCTTCTGTGTGTAAAAGCATCTGTGCGTCAAAGCTGCGGTGTGTAAAAGCTTCTGTGTTTAAAAGCATCTGTGCGTCAAAGCTGGGGTGTGTAAAAGCTTCTGTGTGTAAAAGCATTTGTGCGTCAAAGCTGCGGTGTGTAAAAGCTTCTGTGTGTAAAAGCTTCTGTGTGTAAAAGCTTCTGTGTGTAAAAGCTTCTGTGTGTAAAAGCTTCTGTGTGTAAGAGCCTCTGTGTGTAAAAGCTTCTGTGTGTAAAAGCGTCTGTGTGTAAAAGTTTCTGTGTGTAAAAGCTTCTGTGTTTAAAAGCTTCTGCGTGTAAAAAAATCTGTGTGTAGAAGTGTCTGTGAGTAAAAGCTGCTGTGTGTAAAAGCTTCTGTGTGTAAAAGCGTCTGTGTGTAAAAGTTTTTGTGTGTAAAAGGTTCTGTGTGTAAAAGCTTCTGTGTGTAAAAGCTTCTATGTGTGAAAGTTTCTGTGTGTAAAAGCTTCTGTGTGTCAAAGCTTCTGTGTGTAAAAGCTTCTGTGTGTAAAAGCTTCTGTGTGTAAAAGCGTCTGTGTGTAAAAGCTTCTGTGTGTAAAAGCCTCTGTGTGTAAAAGCTTCTGTGTGTAAAAGCTTCTGTGTGTAAAAGTTTCTGTGTGTAAAAGCTTCCGTGTGTAAAAGCTTCTGTGTGTAAAAGCGTCTGTGTGCACAAGTTTCTGTGGGCACAAGTTTCTGTGTGTAAAAGCTTCTGTGCGTAAAAGCGTCTGTGTTTGAAAGTTTCTGTGTGCAAAAGCTTCTGCGTGTCAAAGCTTCTGTGTGTAAAAGCTTCTGTGTGTAAAAGCTTCTGTGCGTAAAAGCTGTCTGTGTGTAAAAGCTTCTGTGTGTAAAAGCCTTCTGTGTGTAAAAGCTTCTGTGTGTAAAAGCATCTGTGTGTGTTTCTGTGTGTAAAAGCTTCTTCGTGTGTAAAAGCGTCTGTGTAAAAGCTTCTGTGTGTTCTTTGTGTGTCTGTGTAAAAGTGCTGTGAGTCGGCGTGTAAAAGCTTGTGTAAAAGCTTCTGTGTGCGTAAAAGCGTCTGCGTGTAAAAGCTTTTGTGTGTAAATGCTTTTGTGTGTCAAAGGTTCTGTGTGTAAAATCTTCTGTGTGTAAAAGCCTCTGTGTGTAAAAGCTGCTGTGAAAAGCTTCTGTGTGTAAAAGCAAGGTTCTGTGTTTAAAAGCTTGTGTGTAAAAGCTTCTGTGTGTTCTGTGTGTAAAAGCTTCTGTGTGTAAAAGCCTCCTCTGTGTGTAAAAGCGCCTGTGTGTAAAAGCGCCTGTGTGTAAAAGTGTCTGTGTATAAAAGCTTATGTGTGTAAAAGCTTCCGTGTGTAAAAGCTTCTATGTGTAAAAGCTGCTGCGTGTAAAAGCTGCGTGTAAAAGCTTTTGTGTGTAAAAGCTTCTGTGTGTAAAAGCTCTGGGTGGAAAAAACACTAGAAATCCTTCACTCTGCTGGGGGAGAGCTTTTTGGACGGAAGCCGGGAACGCCTCTGTGTGTAAAGGCTTCTGTGTGCTTCTGTGTGCAAAAGCTTCTGTGCGTAAACTTCTGACGAGTCGAAGTCGGAGTAGGCGAGGAGGCGTAGGAGTGGGAGTAGGAGTGGGAGTAGGAGTGGGAGTAGGAGTGGTAGTAGTAGTAGGTAGGAGGAGGTAGTAGTAGTAGTAGTAGTAGTATCAGTAGTAGTAGTAGTAGTAGTAGTAGTAGTACTACTACTAGTAGTAGTAGTACTACTAGTAGTAGTAGTACTACTAGTAGTAGTAGTACTACTAGTAGTAGTAGGGAGGGGGAGGGGGAGGGGGAGGGGTTGATTCAGACGAAGCAAAAACGCGCGGGAAGAGAACAAAGGAACAAGTACAAGCCAAGAACAGAAACAAGTACAAAACAAGAACAGAAACAAGAACAACACCTCCGGCAGGCTGGCGGATTTTAGGACGAGCACCACTACAAGTTTGTGTTACCACGATGGACGAACCAGCGATGCCACAAAAGGTTTTTTTACTCAATGGCCATGACTCAGGAACCGATTGATTGGAGGTACCTACCATATACAAGGCCTATCTTTTAGGGCTATGTAAGGGAGTATCTCACAAAATATGGCCTTATATGGTACAGTACCTCCAGTTTAGGATCCTGGAATTCCCATTGATTTACTGTCGCAACCGTTTCAATCATTTTGTACCGGATCGATTCACGCATTTTAGACAGATGAGGATCAATGCAACTTTTGATGGTTATACCGTTTATACCTTTGACTTTTGGAATCTGGCAATTTTTAAGTTTGACTTCTGTGAGCGTGCCACCTGGACCATTTTGTTGTGACGCAACCAGCAAGCCAACAACTGCAAGCCACAACACTGAACACATGAACGGCGCATTTGTTCGTACACCCATCAAATAGCAATCACAAGCAAACATCCGCATACTTTTCCAATCCACTTCCACCTGCTTTGATCTGCTCAAAGCACTTTCATGAACTATGCGCTGCTCCCAGGGAACCTCGGATGGCATTATCTGTTGTGAATCGTGTCACTTGCATGTATTTGGATTTTGGATAATTCAAACGTGTGGTGTATGTGAACATTTCTTTGAAACTAATATGATGGAATTGAAGGGGCAATTGTGCCGATGTGCAGGCCAGTTTTTGAAAGCCCATATGCTTAACAGTTCGTTTCCCTGTTGGACCAAGGATATTGTTATTGCTGGTGGTGGTCGCCATCACCGTCTGCTTTCTGGCAACTTGGCGTGCGGTGTGGGGAAAGAGGCTGCGCGATGGAAATTGCCCTTGGTCTTACAGCCATCGCACTGAGCGCACTGTGCGCATGTAGTGCATTTGGTTTCTACGCTTCAGGAAAGTCCAAAATTTCAGGTGCAGATGCACAAAGGTGATCAAACCGAGCAGGTTTCAGTTTTGGGAAGGTCTAAAACACCCACCATCACCCACCTTTTTATCTAAAGTTTGAACAACCTTGCGGATCATCGTGCGTTGCAAGATTCCCATAGATTCCCATGCACTGGCTTAGCTGATTGACTTCTCTCCACATTGAAAAACATTGCTACATCGACTGTTTCATTGTTTCATTGGGTGCCTCCTCCTAAGCAAACCGCCAATATCTAATAACAACAATCACCATCACAATCACCATCACCATCATCATTCACCATCATCATTCACCATCATCATTCACCATCATCATCATCATCATCATCATCACCATCACCATCACCATCATCATTCACCATCATCATTCACCATCATCATTCACCATCATCATTCACCATCATCACCATCATCATCATCATCATCATCGTCATCGTCATCGTCATCGTCATCGTCATCATCATCATCATCGTCGGCGTCGGCGTCATCACCGTCATCATGATCATCATCATCACTGTCAGCGTCAGCGTCATCGTCAGCGTCATCGTCAGCGTCATTGTCAGCGTCGTCATCATCATCATCATCATCATCATCATCATCATCATCATCATCATCATCATCATCATCATCATCATATCATCATCATATCATCATCACCATCATCATCATCGTCCTCATCGTCATTGTCATCATCATCATCATCATCATCATCATCAAGAACATCATCATCGTCATCGCCATCATCATCATCATCATCATCATCATCGTCGTCGTCGTCGTCGTCTTAGGCGTCGTCGTCGTCATCATCATCATCATGATCATCATCATCGTCAGCGTCAGCGTCATCGTCAGCGTCATTGTCAGCGTCGTCATCATCATCATCATCACCAGCATCAGCATCATCATCATCACCATCATCATCATCATCATCATCATCATCATCATAGTCGTCGTCATCATCATCGTCGTCGTCGTCACCCTCATTGTCGTTATCGTTATCATCGTCATCATCGTCATGATCATTATCATGGTCATGATCATCATGATCATCTTGATCATCATGATCATGATGGTGCTGATGATCATCATCATAATCATCGTCACCGTCAGCGCCAGCGTCATCGTCAGCGCCGGCATTATCGTCATCATCATCATCATCATCATCATCATCATCCTCATCAACGTCATCATCGTCCTCATCGTCATCATCGTCATGATCATGATCATTATCATGATCATGATCATCATCATCGTCGTCGCCGTCGTCGTCCTCGTCATCATCCTCATCATCATCATCATCATCATCCTCGTCGTCGTCGTCATCGTCGTCGTCGTCGTCATCATCCCCGTCATTATCATCAGCATCGTCGTCGTCATCCTCATCGCCATCATTATGATATTAGGGGGTCAGGCCCAAGCCTCTCCATCATCATCATCATCATCCTCATCATCCTCGTCGTCGTCGTCGTCATCATCCCCGTCATTATCATCAGCATCGTCGTCGTCATCCTCATCGCCATCATTATGATATTAGGGGGTCAGGCCCAAGCCTCTCCATCATCATCATCATCATCATCATCATCCTCATCCCCTCATTCATCATTCCGCTCATTCTCCCGGTCGCTGGATTCCGAACTTCGTTTTGCAGCCCCAAGGCAGCGGTCCCATTGTGGAAGCTGCGGCTTCTGTGGAATTCCAAAGCCTCACTTACGACGCCGGCAGATTGGTGGCTCTATGCTTTAACTCGTTGGGGAAACCAAGCGCATTGAAGCTGAGAAGGTTTGACAGTGATGTGCAATGTGAAAGAAACATGGGACTACAGTAAGGCGGGTTTGTACAGCCATATTTGGAGCGGATGTTGGAACTGCCATTGTTTTGAGGCAAAAACACACAAAAATTCTGGAGACTTAACATGATTCCAACAGATTCTTTTGAGAGAGACCAGCATCATCCAGCATCATCCAATGGCTGCGGTTGTTTCACCGCAACCCCATCAACCTCCATGAGGCTGTCCCTGCTTGACTTTGATGTTCGGGATCCTCCTTCCTTGCAGCTTTGGACTTGTGGGCGCTGCTGCTTCAGGCAGATCGATCTGCCCTAAATTTTTCACATTTGGCCTGGTGCTGGGGTGATTTTCATTGATTTGATGTGATTTAATGGTGATTTGTTGGACATGATGGACATGTGTGAGTTGAATTTGATGATCACTTTTCGGCGACATCTAGGATTCGGTCCAACAAAAGGGGTTCCATATGCGCATTTTGACTGCCTGCCAGGATTTTCGGTAAATGTGCCTTGGCTTGCAGACATCATGTTTGCAAGAGAACTAAATTTAGAGAACATTCATTTTCTGTGCAGAGTGTTCACTCGTCAAAGAAATTGCCATGTAATTCCAAGGTGAATTTGGATTTCTCTGAATATTTGGAAGCTGAGTTGGAGGACATCCTGTTTCCAAGCCATGGTTCTGTCAATGGGAAATCATGGGAACACTGTTGGGCAACATGTTGGCTAGTCGCAACTGTTTCAGGAACAATATTTGTTGAATGTGGCCACTGAAGCTTCCTTACGGCAAGTGTGACTGGGCCCAGAAAACTCGTCTGGAAGTTTGGTGGTTATTTTGAGCCTTCTTGGGTGTATGAGTACTGAAAACCTGAAGGTTTTTCATTCAAGTCATGAAATCATGATTTTGTCACACTTAATGTGGTTAAAACAATAATAAACCATCCCCCAAATCAGCATAAATAATATCAATAGGTGGTATAAACCAATCCCAAATGGGTAGTTTATGGTTGTTTTAACCCCATTACATATAATTTGTCATCATGTTTACATCTTACACGTTGCGCCAGACAACTCCACTAGGCGAAAGCCCTTCAGCACCGAGCTGCAAGAGCAATTCGAGGTGAGAATTGCTGTCAAGGAAACCCCTCCAGATTTCAGAACCAACAATGTTTGATCCGAATCCAAATTGAATGCGCATATCATCCCATATTATTATCCCATATCATCCCATATATCTATATTCTGTTGATTTCTGTTCGAGGTGTTTGATGTTTTTGTCGATCTTGTCATCTTTCTCTCAAGCTTCGCCATCAAGTCGCCGAGGGGTGGACGGCTGACCGCTATGAGAATAGGCGGATGCTGTTTGCCGTTTGCGGTGAAAGGAATGATTCGGCCGACCGGTATGGTTTCCCTGGTGCTAACATAGACTGTGCATAGATTTCCCGCACTTAGAATGGTTTTTGTTGGGACATTTTGGAAGGCCCGGGAATTTTGATGTGCGTAGCTGGCAGCCAACCATGGTCAAAGTCGTTTTTTTTTCCATGGTCCGCAGGTTGGGAGGAAATGTGCAGCCTGACAACCTGGCAGCTTGGCGGCGCTAGGCGACACGGAACTGACAACATCGCAGACGTTTGGCAGCCGGATATCTCCCGGATGGTCATCGCTAAGGCGCCTCGAGGTTTATATGAGACACTTGGCAGCTGGCGTATCATCACTGTGTCGCTGTTGGATCAAGACGACAAAGTCGTGCTATGTCTTCAATGGATGACATATGGATGACATGGAACATGAGGATTTGGACGTGGTGCGAATTTGACGCAGTTTTTTCCAAATGAAAGGGGTAAACTCATCAGCACTGAGGGGTGTCCCGCTGGCAGCCTGGCAGCATTTCGTTGGAGTGCCGTTTGAACTCCAGCAAGCCCAGTGAAATTGCCAGTTGGCAATCTCAAAACATGGCCCAAAACATAGTCAAGATGGCTTCAAACATGTTGGCATCGAACACTTTTTGTCAAGAAGCCACCTTTGAATACTCAAAGCTTTTGACACACACCCAATACCAAGCCGATGAAAAACTCCGCATGAAATTGGCACAGATCTTTCGCTTGTGGAGCCTGGACATTTTCTACGAAGCCGTCGATCAAGAAAAAGGTGATCCGCCCAGCTCTCGTGCAGATCGGGCAGGGGACATGGAGAAAATCTGATGGCAAAAAATCGTGGCCATCCCGGTCGCTGATTTATCTGATTTGGGGCAGGCATCTTCACTGAAGAGGCTCTGAATGAAATCAGAGACTTTGAGAACCAGTTGGTTGGGGTCTCAGGAATGCAAAAAGCGAAGCGCTTGGCATGTTTCGCCACTTGATTTTGCATGGGACACTGCCATGGAGGTCTCGTTTTCTGGATATTCGACGTTCTGCCGAAGGCACATTGCGAAGACCATAGCTTGATCATGCTTGATCCATGGTGCGCTGTGGCTGGTGTTTTCCCCAAACATTTCCGTCGCCATTCACAGAAGTACAGATGTTTGCACATGTAAATGGCAGGATTGACAACTATTTTGATCTATTTTGTGTGTTTTTGTATTGCTTCTCCTGCTTGGTTCATGGAGAACTTGATAGAACTTGTCTTGAATTTTCGGCACAGGTGGGACTCTTTTGGGGAATTGCCATGTGACGCTCCAAGTTCAGCAGCTTGATTTGGTATAGCTTTGGTTTTTTGACGCAGAATGTGAGTTGACGTCGAGGTAAAGAATCTCTTCTTCACCATGCAGCTTGGCAAGTTTTGGCATGGTTTCCATATGGTATTTCCATGTTGAAACATGTTTTTTAACGGTTCTCTCCGTTGTTTGGCGTCAGGCCCAATTCCAGCCGGGACTCATCCACCATGGAGCTGGTCTATGATGGGACTGGCAAGTTAGCAAGCATCGACACTTGTCTGGGATCAGATGCCAGGGATTATTCAGGGATCCAGAAAAGTCAAGTGCACCCACCATCCTGGCAACTCTTCAAAAGCTCATAGCTGCCATAGCTGCCATAGCTGCCATAGCTGCCATAGCTGCCATAGCTTTCAGAAAGATGACTCACAACTGAAAAAATCCGTATACTTCCCCATGGAGGATTTGGCTTTAGAGGAGCTAGCCAGAAATGAAGTCCGGCTGGTGCCTCAGAGCCCCAGGAGCGGTCCGTTCTGCAGCATTTCGGACCATGTTTGGGCCCTGAAAGGTGGTGGACTGAGAGCGATTTCAACAGCAAGAAGCTCAAGAGTCAGTGACTCGGCCTCAAGGCTTGGCTAACAAAATGCCCCAAACATTATGGTTCTTTGGTGATTTTGGTGGTAGCATGTCGTAACCATCCATAAATTCTTGGGTTCCCAATTTTGAGATATTTTGACATATTTTGACCCTAATCATTGAATTGTGGAGTAGAAAATCGATCAGTTGGCAACCATATCAGACATCAGACCATCTCATGGCTCAACCTTCGACATCTCGCAGTGTCTGGCGATGTCTGGCGCAGTGTCTGGAGGTACACGAGGTCAACTTTTTATGGTGGTCCCTCGTCCAAAACTTTGCCAAAATTTGGGGCTCAACATGGCTCGTTTCTGTCCGTTTTTTTTTTCTCAAGTTGCCATTGAGCCATTGAGCATCATTGAACATCTAGGATAACTATGATAACTCTGCGCAATTCGGGACTTCGGCTGGCCGAACTAGGTGCTCCATTGATTGGTTATAGCACCTGGCATGACCGACAAGCCGAACAGGAGGCGAAGATTCATGATTTTCTGGGCTCCTTGGCAGTGACATGGGGCCATTTTCAGGTCAGAGACTTATTGGTTTGTAGCTTTTCTATGCTTTTCTGATCTTCTAGTGGGATGTCCTCCCATGTGGGTTGCAGCGCTCATCTCAGGCCGTTTGTTTAGAGACTATTTGCGCGGGGCAGATGTGCCTTCCAGTGATCCCATCCACTTGCCCTACAAGCACGTGAAGTTCGCATGGTATGAAAAAAGGAGCCCATCTGTTGGGAATACTGGGATACCATGGTTTATCATGGTTTACCATGGTTTATCATGGTTTATCATGGTTTATCATGGTTTACCATGGTTTACCATGGTTTATCATGGTTTATCATGGTTTATCATGGTTTATCATGGTTTATCATGGTTTATCATGGTTTATCATGGTTTATCATGGTTTATCATGGTTTATCATGGTTTATCATGGTTTATCATGGTTTATCATGGTTTATCATGGTTTATCATGGTTTATCATGGTTTATCATGGTTTATCATGGTTTATCATGGTTTATCATGGTTTATCATGGTTTATCATGGTTTATCATGGTTTACATGGTTTATCATGGTTTATCATGGTTTATCATGGTTTACCATGGTTTATCATGGTTTATCATGGTTTATCATGGTTTATCATGGTTTATCATGGTTTATCATGGTTTATCATGGTTTATCATGGTTTATCATGGTTTCATGGTTTAGCATGGTTTACCATGGTTTATCATGGTTTATCATGGTTTATCATGGTTTATCATGGTTTATCATGGTTTATCATGGTTTATCATGGTTTACCATGGTTTACCATGGTTTATCATGGTTTATCATGGTTTATCATGGTTTATCATGGTTTATCATGGTTTATCATGGTTTATCATGGTTTATCATGGTTTATCATGGTTTCATGGTTTATGGTTTACCATGGTTTATCATGGTTTATCATGGTTTATCATGGTTTATCATGGTTTATCATGGTTTATCATGGTTTTATGGTTTCATGGTTTATGGTTTCATGGTTTACCATGGTTTATCATGGTTTATCATGGTTTATCATGGTTTATCATGGTTTATCATGGTTTATCATGGTTTATCATGGTTTATCATGGTTTATCATGGTTTACCATGGTTTATCATGGTTTATCATGGTTTATCATGGTTTATCATGGTTTATCATGGTTTATCATGGTTTATCATGGTTTATCATGGTTTATCATGGTTATCATGGTTTAGCATGGTTTATCATGGTTTATCATGGTTTATCATGGTTTATCATGGTTTATCATGGTTTATCATGGTTTATCATGGTTTATCATGGTTTATCATGGTTTAGCATGGTTTATCATGGTTTATCATGGTTTATCATGGTTTATCATGGTTTATCATGGTTTATCATGGTTTATCATGGTTTATCATGGTTTATCATGGTTTAGCATGGTTTATCATGGTTTATCATGGTTTATCATGGTTTATCATGGTTTATCATGGTTTATCATGGTTTATCATGGTTTATCATGGTTTACCATGGTTTATCATGGTTTATCATGGTTTATCATGGTTTATCATGGTTTATCATGGTTTAGCATGGTTTAGCATGGTTTACCATGGTTTATCATGGTTTATCATGTCAATGTACATATTCAACATGTCATATCAACACTGGCCTGTGGTTCAAGGCCTTGAGTCAACTCCTGTTGACAACATACAGATTGAGCGCGTGCAACAGCAAAAGGTGCCAACAGTTGCAGCTTGACAACAGTGCTTGAAACATCTCGCACTTTTACATGGTAGCGGAGCTCTGCCTTACCAGGGGCATCTCCAAGCAACAGCAGTAAACAACAGGCAGAGGGCTTGATCCCAGAACACTGGGGGACTCTCAACAATTACTGTGCACAACACCCAACAAACAACACACCAGACAACAGAGGAAGCAGCAGCTGAACAACAACACTCTGACAACAGGGAGAAGCCTTGATCCCAAGACATTGGAGGAGCTTCAACAAAACTTTACAAAGCAACAATGGCGGCATCACCAACAGCACCACTAGAGGATCAGACAGAAGCGTTGGCAGCAACACACCGACTCAAACTCAAGCCCCCAACATATGATGGCAACTATTCCACATTTGAGGAGTGGAAATACAAATTCACAGCATACATGGGCCTCATGGACCCATTCTACCCCAACATCCTACGACGTGCAGCAACATCCACACAACGACTTACAGAAGCAGACTTGAGAGGAGCAGCACAGAACATGGAGGAAGCCGACAGATGGGTACAACTAGACAACAACTTGAAGTACATACTTGTGAACGTAACAACAGGAGCTGCAGCAACAGTGTGCAGACAGTATCAACATGAGATGGGACTTGAGACCTACAGGCAGCTCAGCAACAGGTTTGCCATACCATTAGGAACAAGAAGCATAGGGTACCTAACAAAGCTGCTCAAGCCAACATTTGACAGCAACAACTTCGAGGAGTCATTCTCCAACTGGGAATTCGAGCTCTCAAGGTATGAGAGAGACAACAACACAACACTACCAGACCAAATCAAAATTGCAGTCCTGATGAACGAGACATCAGGCCCACTGCAACAACACCTGCACTTGAATGCAGGAGCAACACCAACATACGTAGAGGTACGTGAAACAATCATGGAATATTACAGAGCCACCACAGCCCTTAGCAGGCTACACCAGCAACCTGGGACATCCAGCGTCTCAACACACGCCCAAGGAGGACCGGCACCTATGGACATTGGAGCTGTCAACAAAGGATACAAAGGAAAGTACAACAAAGGAAAAGGAAAGAAGCCCAACAAAGGAAAAGGAAAGAACAAGAGCAACAAAGGCAAAGGATATGGCTACGGATACAACAAAGGCAAAGGAAAGATTGGGCAAGGAATGCAGCCCAAAGGATCCAACAACAAAGGAGGGTACATAGGCAAAGGCAAAGGCAAGCCAACAGGAAAAGGAAAAGGGGTCCCAACGCAAGGATGCTACAGATGTGGCCAGCCAGGTCACATAGCAAGAGACTGCCGTGTGGCAGTACACAACCTCAACGAGGTTACAACCAACACATACACTGGCCATTGGCAAGATGATGCAACAACCCAATGGTATCAACAACAACAGTACTATGACGGCCAATGGTGGAATGATGACCAAACACAGGTCAGCGCACTGCCACAGCAACAACTGGCACTCCCACCAACAAGCGCGCAGGAACAGCAAGTTCCACAACTCCACATAGCAGCCATTTCAATACAGCAGTCCAACAAGCAGCAGCCAGCAACTGAGCAACCGGCAAACACCACAGAAGATTTGATGATTGACAGTGGAGCAGCAACACATGTTTGCCCACCATGGTTTGCCCCAACATACAGAACATATGAACTTCACCCAGAACAAGGCCCAAGACTCACAACAGCAACAGAGGAAGACATCACAGTCTATGGCTACAAATGGGTGTACATGAAGAACAACAAGCAACAACCGATCGTCATACCCTTTTATGTGTGTGACGTGTCACAACCCATTTTGTCAGTAACAAGACTGGCATCACAGGGTTTCAACATCCAGCTTAGCGATCGCCCATCAATCACCAACACCAACGGCTTTGAAGCAACACTGAAGCAACAACAAGGACTGTATTTTCTTACAGTCAACATCAGCCCAATGCCAAGCAACATGAAGCTCGACATATGTGAGACGTCACATGGCATTCGAGCAACAGTGTCCCCAGTGACAATTACACCAACAGGACCTGAATGGGTCACACACAACAACGACATTTGGATATACAACAGCACAGGATATCTGGTGAGGGTACACAAGAGAACAAGGAAGGCCCTCTTCACACCAGATGCACAATGTCCAGTTCCAGAAGAACAGCTGGACAACTACAGAAGAACAATAGCATACAAGCCAGATGGAACACTTGAGGACTTTGAGGACAAATACAAAGACCTTCCACAACAATGACAGAACAGAAGACTTCCAGGACCAGCATGGTCAGGAGAAACATGGTTCAGAGTCAAAGAGACAACAAAGCCTCCAGCACCACCGTTGCCCAAGGCATCAACAGCAGCTTCAGCGCCAGCATCAGCAACACCAAAGGCATCGGCAGCCAAGGCAACGACACAGCAACAGCAGCAACAAGCTCAGCAGCCTACAGGATCAGCAGTTCGACACAGAGAGAAGAAGCCAGTGGAACAACCTTTGGTACCACAGCAACAGCAGCCCATGAAGCAACAAGCATATCCAGGAACAGCAGTTCCAGGACCAAAGGACACACCAGCAACAGCAGACTACTGGATCAAAGAAGGACAGTACTGGAAGAGAGTCCATGTACAACAACGGACTCAGCTTTACATCCCACAACAAACAATGGATGGTCCAGATGTCACAAAGCTATTGCCACAAAGACAAACAATAGTTAAGCCAACATCAGGAGCCAGAGGATACAGGATTGATGATGACTGGACAACAAAGACCTCAGCAACAATGAACTTCACATGGACAGGTTCAACAAACTTTGAGGAGAGCACGGCGTTCAAAGAGGAGTACTACAACATCGATGAGGAAGAACATTTAGATGCCAGAACAGCAAAAGGCATCAAAGCACCAGAGCAGCCAACAGCACAAGAGCGTGCTGAACATGAACTCACACACCTTCCCTACAGGAGTTGGTGTCCAACATGTGTTCAAAACAAAGGACGAGCAGACAACCACCCACGACAACACAGCAAACAACCAGTCGTACAATTCGACTTTTGTTTCTTCAAAACACTTGGAGAAAAGGAAACAACACCAATCCTCACAGGCATTGACGTGGAAACAGGCATGAGCATGGCAGTTCTTGTCAACAGCAAGACAGCAGACTTTCAATATCACGTCCAATGCATACAAACATTCCTCATGGAGTGTGGCAGAGTACAAGCTGTACTCAACAGCACAATCCTACAGTCAGATCAGGAGGATCACCTCATAGCACTTCTCAGAGCAACAGCAGCTAAGATGGGAGGAAACATCACAGTTCGACAAGCACCAACATACACATCACAAGCACAAGGCAGCGTCGAACGCTTTCACAGAACACTCATGGGACAAGTCAGAACACTGAAGTCCCAACTGCAGAACAACTATGACATCAGACTTACAAGCAAACATCCCATCGTAGCATGGATGGTGAGACACACAGCTTACCTGCTCAACAGGTATGCCATACATTCAGATGGCAACACAAGCTTCTTCAGGAGATGGCATAAAGAACACAAAACACCACTCTGTGAGTTTGGTGAAACAGTTCTTTATATGTTGCCAAACTCAGCAGTCATTCCAAAGATGGAACAGCGCTTCATGCCAGGCATATGGCTTGGTAAAGACACAACATCCAATGAGAACCTCATTGGGATTTCCAACAAGGTTGTTCGAGCACGAACAATCAGAAGGCTTCCAGCACCAGAAAAGTACAACAAGCAACTGATGGACGTGATCAACAGATCACCAACACTCCCATACACCACTGGTGGACCATACGTTTCAAAACCACCACTGGTCTACAAGCCAATGAGGAGACCAGCAACTGCAGAAACAGGCACACAAGCTTTTGGAGCAGACACAACACAACAGCCACAACTTCAAGCACAGCAACTAGCAGCACCGGCAGGTACATCAACACGATGTGCCATTGCAGACTCACCAATGGCAACAGCACCAACAAGCTGTCACACCAGACCATCACTTCCATCACCAAAACGAACAGTTTCAGACGAAGTGGCAGAAGGCAGTCTGCCAAAGCAACATCGAACAGCAGAAGCAGCAACAGGTCCAGCAAGGCCTGACACAGCACAAGAGCCACCAACAAGCAAACTAAGAATCACAAAGGTGACAATTCAAACAAAGAAAGGGGTCGAAATCACAGCATACACTTGTGACGACATCACAGAAGAACAAACAGAGAAGATCCTTTTGGAACCAATGGTCAACAACACAGAAGGATTCGACAAACAGAAGACCATTGAAGGAATGAAGAATGAGATCGATTCCATGAAGAAACAACAGGTATACATGGAAGTCGACATCAACACTCTGACCCCAGAACAAAAGAAGAACATCATACAGTCAAGATGGGTTCTCAGAGACAAAGGCAACAACGTTCGTGCAAGAATTGTAGCAAAGGGCTACACAGAGGCAGTCAACGACCTTGATGACATCTATGCCTCAACACCTATCTTTTGCGTCCTGAGAACACTTCTCACTATCTGCCTCAACAGAGGTTGGATCGCCAGAACAGGAGACATCTCAACAGCTTTCCTACATGCCGCAGCAGCTACAGTAGACTTGTACATGTATCCACCAAAGGAGTTTTACAGACCAGAGGACAACATCATCTGGAAACTCCTCAAAGCAATCTATGGACTGAGAAGCAGTCCAAAAGCTTGGCAAAACCACCTTGCAGAAGTCCTACAACAACTTGGACTTCAACGCAGCACAGCAGAGCCCAACATCTTTATGACACCAACAAGAGATTGCTATATCCTCGTCTACGTCGATGACCTTCTCTTCCTAGGAGAACAACAAGTGGTGGACAAGCTCTTCACAGCAATTCAGCAACACCTTCTTCTTCGACCAACAGGTACACTTGAACCAGGGAAGACAGTCTCCTTCCTTGGACGCAGCATCACCAACAATGGTGATAGCTACGATATTTCACTATCGCAGGACTACGTGGCCAACATCTTGGAGGAGAACAACATGCTGAACTGCAACCCAGCACCGGCACCAGGAACATCAGCCTTGAAGGCACCAACAGCTGATCATGAACAGCCTCTTTCAACAGACGAACATGCAGCCTACAGGAGAACAGTAGGTAAACTACAATGGATGACATACACTCGTCCCGATATCAGCTACGCAACAAAGGAGCTGGCCAGAGCATTACAAGCACCAACGACGGCAGACCAACAAAAGCTGAAGCACCTTCTTAGGTATCTCAAAGGAACACAACACTACAGGCAGGTCATTAGACCAACAGCAAAGATACCTCCAACACAGATTCCAGACCTCAACATCTATGTGGACAGCGACTGGGCAGGTTGCCCAGAAACGAGGAGATCAACAACAGGTTTTCTCATCACACTACTTGGAGCTACAATCAACTACGGCAGCCGAACACAGGCAACAATAGCACTGTCAAGTGCTGAAGCAGAGCTATACGCCATCAACACAGGAGCAACAGAAGCACTTCATTTGCGCAACCTCCTCATGGAGCTCTTCAACGTCCAGAAGGTCAACATCAAGATTCACACAGACTCGTCAAGCGGCAAGAGCATGGCAACAAGGATAGGATCGTCAAGAAAAGCAAAACACATTGACCTGAAACATCTCTTCATACAACAACTGATCTCACATGACATCGTGAGACTCAATAAGATTCACACAAACGAAAACCCAGCAGACATTTTCACCAAATACATCTCAACAAAAACACTCCACAGACACCTGCAGGCAGCTGGGCTCAACACCCAGCACCACATCCACTAGAGAGTGGATACAGCAACAGCAGTTTCACAACACCCGGGCAGCTAATGCACTATGCGCACGCGTGCACAACTGCGTGAGCAAACAATGCACACACACAGACACACACACGGACGCGTTTGAGCCATGACCGATGTCATCAACAAACGTTGATGAACATCTCCCTTGTTTCGTTTCATCCAGTATTTCAACAAGATCTTTTTTTTGGAATCCCAACATGGTGATCTATTTCGACTATCAGCATCAACATCATTGACTTAGTCAACATGATTTCCTTTTTTGCAGGATGACTTATTTCAACAAGATCCTTCCCAACGTGAAGGTCAACATGTCTTGTGACGCATGATGATGTCAACACCGTTTGTTGACAACAGTTGTGTATTCAACCTTTTTTGTGCAGCCATTTTTGTGTCAACAGAACTGCTCACTCAACAGTTGTGGGCACTCAACAGGGAACAAGGGTTCCTCGACATCTTCAACATGCTCAGCTGGTCAAACAACTTCATTTGGAGTTACAACACTCCTGTGAATTTGGCAACAGTTGGAGATGAGATCCCACAACATCTCATCTATATGCTTCAACAAGCCATTCAGTACGGTGGCACTCAACAACTGGAATTCTTGCCAGAGGCGGCAAGGACCAAAATCAGGATGATCCTCAACAAGTGGCATCCTCTCCTTGAAGGAGGACAACAATTCCAATACTTTGGTGTGAAGACACCAGAGAGGTTGAGGGGATCTTCAACACTGGCAACATGGCTGATGGAGCAGTCAACAGATGAGCACCTCCAACAGCACTTCGATAAAGTGAACAAGTATCGTGAGCCAACCGGCATGGAAGACAACATGGAAGAGAACAACGCAGAGTGATCAACAATGATCACAACAGGGATGGAGCTCAGACAACATCCCGGTGCAGAAGCACCAAAACAACAGAGCCCTGCGCGACATGACGCTCAACACATGAGAGCTTGAAGTGCGCATAATTAAGCAAGTGTTTTTTCGTCCAACACCTGCGGCTGCAACAGGTGTATAAAGATAACCAAGCCATCGGCATTTGTACAGAGGATGAACCAACACTCATGCATGAGTAGTCAACAAAATGCTGTTTCAGTTTCAACATGTTTATAGTTTCAACATTAGTTGCAACATTTAGTGAACACAGACCCATGTAGAATATATAGTCAACATCTGCTGGCTAACATAGCCAACATCTGAGGGGTCGTGTCAATGTACATATTCAACATGTCATATCAACACTGGCCTGTGGTTCAAGGCCTTGAGTCAACTCCTGTTGACAACATACAGATTGAGCGCGTGCAACAGCAAAAGGTGCCAACAGTTGCAGCTTGACAACAGTGCTTGAAACATCTCGCACTTTTACATATCATGGTTTATCATGGTTTATCATGGTTTATCATGGTTTAGCATGGTTTACCATGGTTTGCCATGGTTTATCATGGTTTATCATGGTTTATCATGGTTTATCATGGTTTATCATGGTTTATCATGGTTTATCATGGTTTATCATGGTTTATCATGGTTTATCAGGTTTTATCATGGTTTATCATTGACCCCATGTTGATTGCTGTAGATGCTGTAGATTGCAACGCCTTTCCAGGATGCACAGCTATGAGAAGCTCGGCTGGTTTTTGATCTTTGGCAGTAGAGAGGTGCGGAATCTGGACCTTGATCTCTCTTCACACAGATGAAAGCCACCCATCATCCAATGCATTTGCGGTGTGTTTTCAAAGTGTTGCATAGCAGATATATCATGATATATCATGATATATCCTATTCCCCAATCATCAAGCTTGCAAGGGATGTTTCAATGTCATCCTCCAGATTTGCCGAGGGTCTTGTACTACTTGTGGTACGACATGTTATTTGCCTTCGGCACCCTGACGATGGTGACTTTGATGGTTTTGATGAGGTGCGCATGCCGAAGGTCTGGAGCAATGATGAGAAATGGGGCCCATGGGGATTCGATTGGGGATAGGTCTGGCAAACATGGGCAGAAATTAACAGGAACAGCCAGATTTTGGGGGATCCTGGGGGTCAGTCACTACGGACACGAAAATTGGGCGACGAATTTTTCTGGCACAAACTTGCGCCAAGCATTTGAACACAAACAAGTGGTTTGAGTTATGAATCATTGTTGCAAGAATAGAATGTCAGAATAGTCAAACACCAAAATGGGGCTTTAGTCTTTAGTAGTACATCATTGCGTCACCACCACAATCCACTACCCAATAGTTCCAGCAGAGGTCTTCTGAAGCAATCATTCTGGGTAGAAATGGTCAGAATATGCTGCTTTTCCTGCAGCGGCAGTGGAGAATCTCGGAACATGATCTATGATCCCCGTTTCGAAATGGAACACAGCACCATACTACCGTAGGTAGTTCTCAGGCAATTTATCAGCAGGGCATCCCAAATTTCCAGATGCCGTGCTCAGATTTCAGAATGTCTTCATCACCTTCTTCGCTGCAATAGGCGCACACTTGGCCTTCTCCGGGGCAAGCAGTGTCGACTTCCCAAGCAAGGTGTGTTGTTGAGGATTTTGCACCGGGATTTTTGTGCATTATGGCAGCCTGGTCGACCCCTGTTTCGGGATGTCGGATGGAATTGACCCCTGTTGGCAGAGTGCTTTTGGCCTTGGTGGCCACCTACTTCCATTTCGTGGCTGGCTTCCTCAATGAAGAACCCACAGAAAGCCATCTTGCACTCAGCGCGTGTCGGAAAAAGTGCAACATCTGAGGCTTTACGTCTCTAAGCATTTTGGACTTTGTGGCTTTTTTCGTGATCATGGGCACCTTGACACTGGAACATGCTGAAACACAGGATGGTGCCCCCCAGTTATAAGTTGGTTTATAAACCCCATTAACTATAGTTATATCTGCCATAAACCATAGTTATGGGAGTTATAAACCAACTTAGCTAACTATGGGGCACCACCTTGCAGGCTGAAACCACAAGATCCACAAGCAGTACCACAGTGCCACAGGGGGTGTAACCAAGGTATAGCAGCAGATGATGTCTTTCTCATGTACAACGCCTATCAGTTGGCAGCCAGGGTGGTAGGAAATGCCTGGCACCTAGGCACCTAGACCTTGAGCCAAATCCACTTTGAAGCAAGGGTTGAAAACTGTTGAACATACCAAGCAGTTGATGATGTCTACCAGGCTCTTTTTTTCCTACTTGGAGCCCTTGATGAGGCTGATCCAAAAGAAAAGATGAAGTGGGCCTTCAAGGTGCAATTCTGCGCTGTGTCAAAGTTGTTTTCTGTTTTTTAACCAAGATGACAATTACCCTCTGGTAATTTAACGTAGCTATTGGAAATGGCCATTTATAGTTGATTTACCCATTAAAAATGGTGATTTTCCATAGCTATGTTAGTTTACCAGAGGGTAATGATTATTACTATTATTAAATGATTATTACTATTATTATATATTACATTAACAATCATAATAGTCATCATCATGAGTCATGAATGACTATTTTGCTATTTTACCATCTAATCAAGTTGATCGACATTTTCAGATCTGAAATTTTCTTCAACAGGATCTGAAATGTCAAAGCATTTTTGCAGATTTCTTGAGATGGTGACACCAATCTTCAGATTGACATCTAGCAGTTCTCCATTGGTTCTCGAATTCCTTGACTTGAAAGAGACTTTGTCTCAGGATTAGTATTAGTATTACAGTATTGACACTGTATGTATGTAATTAACATGATTCGTAGCTAATTAGTAGTCTTGTATGACTTGACTAACAGTATGGTTATTGGAGATACATAACCTACATTATTGACTATTGATGACTATTGGTTATTGAGTATTGTATGTAACAGTATTAGGAGTGGTTCTCAACAAATGCCTGGTTTCAAGTTCGATCTTTGCAACTCAGTGTTCTTCCGAGGAAGCTTCCGCAGCCATGCTGGTGACATCGGTAACCACCTGTGGATCCTTCTACGCCAACAGTTTCTCTGTGATCAAAGTGGTTAGGCCCGGACAATCACTACGCAATGGGGAGGATGGACTGGTTTCTTCCATGGTGATCCTACAGAGATGTTGGTGATCCCTACACCTTCCATGTGGTACTTTTTCCCGCCGTTGCTCCAAAACCCGTTGGCAAAAAATGTCTCTCCACGGGGCAACGGGTCATGTCGCCGTTGCGGAATTATTTGGAACATCTCCAAAAACGTCGTTCCGCAGAAAAAAGGTCGTTCTTTCTGAAAGCCTATTTTGCGAGCAAAGGCTCACACTTAATACCTTTTTGAAGATGCAGGTAGATGTATTACATCAGGAATATAAGCTGAAAATCCCCATCCATAAAACACATAATCCAACATTAATAAGTACTACACAATCCCAGATTATATGAGATATTGATCCAATGACCCTATGAATGTTGGATAGCATAATCATAAAGTATCCATAACTGGACCCTAGATATATTCCACAATCCAACATTCAATAAATCCAACAAAGCTATTCCAGATACGTCCATGGCCATAGCTGCCATAGCTGCCAGTTGAGAATCCCGCCCCGCTAGGAGCTTTGGATTCTTCATGGCTTCAGTGGTAGCTTGGAATTTTGTGAATGTGCCTGGGATGCAGTGGAAGATGTCACGGGGAGACCACCCTTAGATTTCATTGATATTGATTGATGTTGATTGATGGTTAATCATTATTATCAAGGATATCCATATGATAATATTATAATCTTCTAATCAAGGATAGGGTTGATAGGGTTGATAGGGTTGATGGTTCATCAATATCAATATCAAGGATTGATGGTTAATCATTCTTTTCCCCACTAACACTATTAATTTATGGATTGATTTTCGAATATCGTCCGTTTTCAGATCCAGATCCTAGGACAGTGACCCTTTGGTCCCCAAAAAACATAGCATGAAAATGCATATTTCATGTGTATGCGTCGACACACATATAGGGCACCAATGGAACCACTTCAATGATCTTTTTCATGGCTGGTCATGTGAAGTACAAAACGTTACGTAAATCGGCCATGAAAAATTAAGCTTCAGTTTTCGGGCCTCAAGAATTTTGACCCAAAAGGTATGGATGGTCCATCCATTGGTGAATGACTTCGAGGTACCCAATCTGTGTGCATCTGCAGCCCTCAAAATGAGGTGCTCACCATATTTCCATCTGCGATTTTGGTGAATGACCTTTACATCATGCCTTGTCTTCACAGAAGGGCTAGAGGAGAACGGTTTAGACGGTTTGGCACACTACAAAGCAACTCTGGGGCTGTTACATGCTGTTACTATATTACCCAGCTGTAATTGAAAGAAACTTCGCTTTGGAGTCGTGATTATCTCAGATATGGGTATGGATCAATACCTGTTAATACCGTTTTTAGTGGGATGAACATCCATTTACCAGCTATTTTGGGGTTCACCAGGGGTACAGGGTTTTGACCCACATCCATATGTTGAGTTTGCGAAGGTCAAAGTCACATTGCTCAGCTAGGACCTGCCGCATATGTGCCATCAAAGCTCCACGACAAGAAAATGGAGGTGAAACCTGCACCCTTAAGCGGCAGATAAGCTTCTCAGAGTGACATGGATTGCACCCACAATGGCAAGTCGTGCTTTCCCACACAGGGGTCAGAACAACAAAACAACCAGGAACAATGGATGGATCAACTTTCTGAGAGAACATATTGTGGTCAATTTCCAATCACAGAATCTTAGGATCCCCGGGTGAATACATGTCAACAGGCAAAGCTGAGCCGCCAGGAGCACTGAAGCTGACCAAGTTTTGTGAAATTAGCTGAGTGAAGAAACTGAGAATCAGAGAAAAGAGATGGAACAAGATGCAGCCCACCAACCCGAATGCAGTCACGTAGAACACTTTTGTGAAACAAGTTATTTGAACATTTTTTTTAACATTTTTCCCCGTTGCCTTTTCCTGTGCACTGTAGACTGTGCAAGACGGAGGAGTGTGGAGTGCAACGTGTGGAGTGAAGAAAGTGGAGTGTTGAGTGGCGAATGCATATAGTGTGAAGTGGGTATTGTGGAGTGTGGAGTGTAAAGTTTAAAATGTCCGGTGGAAAGTGTGCAGTGTGGAGTATAGAGTGTGGAGTGTAGAGTGTGGAGTGTAAAGGGTAAAGTGTGGAGTGTAAAGTGTATATAGAGTGTTGGTGTAAAGTGTAGAGTATGGAGTGTAAAGTGTAAAGTGTGGAGTGTAAAGTGTGGAGTGTAAAGTGTATATAGAGTGTTGGTGTAAAGTGTAGAGTATGGAGTGTAAAGCGAAAAGTGTGGAGTGAAAAGTGTGGAGTGTGAAGTGTGTGTAAAGTGTGGAGTGTGGAGTGTTAAGTGCGGAGTGTAAAGTGTGGAGTGTGGAGTTTAAAGTGTGGAGTGTAAAGGGTAAAGTGTGGAGTGTAAAGTGTATGTAGAGTGTTGGTGTAAAGTGTAGAGTATGGAGTGTAAAGTGTAAAGTGTGGAGTGTAAAGTGTATATAGAGTGTTGGTGTAAAGTGTAGAGTATGGAGTGTAAAGCGAAAAGTGTGGAGTGAAAAGTGTGGAGTGTGAAGTGTGTGTAAAGTGTGGAGTGTGGAGTGTTAAGTGCGGAGTGTAAAGTGTGGAGTGTGGAGTTTAAAGTGTGGAGTGTAAAGGGTAAAGTGTGGAGTGTAAAGTGTATGTAGAGTGTTGGTGTAAAGTGTAGAGTATGGAGTGTAAAGTGTAAAGTGTGGAGTGTAAAGTGTATATAGAGTGTTGGTGTAAAGTGTAGAGTATGGAGTGTAAAGCGAAAAGTGTGGAGTGAAAAGTGTGGAGTGTGAAGTGTGTGTGTAAAGTGTGGAGTGTGGAGTGTTAAGTGCGGAGTGTAAAGTGTGGAGTGTGGAGTGTAAAGTGTGGAGTCTAAAGTGTGGAGTGCGGAGTGTAGAGTGTAAAGTGTGAAGTGTAAAGTGTTAAGTGTAGAGTGTAGAGTATAAAGTGTGGAGTGTGAAGTGTGGAGTGTGGAGTTTAAAGTGTGGAGTGTAAAGGGTAAAGTGTGGAGTGTAGAGTGTGGAGTGTAAAGTGAAGAGTGTAAAATGTAGAGTGTAAAGTGTGGAGTGTAAAGTGTAGAGAGTGAAATGTGGAGTGTCAAGTGTAAAGTGTAAAGTGTGAAGTGTGGAAGGTGGAGTGTCAAGTGTGGAGTGTAGAGTGTCAAGTGTGGAGTGTACAGTGTAAAGTGTGGAGTGTAAAGTGTGAAGTGTGGAAAGTGGAGTGTCAAGTGTGGAGTGTAGAGTGTAAAGTCCGGTGTGTAGAGTGTGGAGTATAGAGTGTCGAGTGTAAAGTGTAGAGTGTTGAGTGTAAAGTGTAAAGTGTGGGTAAAGTGTGGAGTGTAAAGTGTAGAGTGTGGATTGTAAAGTGTAAAGTGTGGAGTGTAAAGTGTAATGTCTAGAGTGTGGAGTGTAGAGTGTGAAATGTAAAGTGTAGAGTGTAAAGTGTAGAGTGTAAAGTGTAGAGTGTAAAGTGTGGAATGTCAAGTGTGGAGTGTACAGTGTAAAGTGTGGAGTGTAAAGTGTAAAGTGTGGAGTGTGGAGTGTAGAGTGTGGACTGTAAAGTGTGAAGTGTAAAGTGTAAAGTGTGGAGTGCGAAGTGTGAAGTGTAAAGTGTGGTGTGTAAAGTGCAAAGTGTGTAGTGTGAAGTGTGGAGTGTTGAATGTGGAGTGTAGAGTGTAGTGTGGAGTGCAAAGTGTAACGTGTAAAATGTAAAGTGGGGAGTGTCGTGTGTGGAGTGTGGAGTGTAGTGGTCTGAGTGTAGAGTGTAGAGTACGCAGAAGTATTGCGCCTGCCACAAAAATGACTCTCGACACGTTTGATCACGTTTGCAGACACATGAGAATGTCAAGAACTGCGACGCCTGTCACGCAAAACCACGTTACAACTGGCTTTGAAACCTTGAAACAGGATAGGTCTTGCAGCTTCCCCCATAGACACGGCGAGGCCACAGGAACACCAGAGACTCGAGACGAGACATGTTGGAGCATCAAAACGAGCATTTGGTGTGAGACCCCCTCCAATTTTCCCACTTTGTAGCTTCAGAATCCACGTTTTGCTACGGGTTTTCTTGTGAACCTCAAAATTTGCTACTTCAAAATCGATGTTTCGTGCCAGGCTTCCGTTCATTTTCAGCACATCTCACAAAATGCCATGCCTGCCACGGAATTTGCACGTTGTCACCATTTGAGGCAGCCCTGACAATGCAATTGGCAAAAAACACACAACACGACTCCTCTAAAGTGCTGCGCCTGGCACGCAAAATGAAGATGGTCACGTCCAAAGTGCTGCGCCTGCCACGAAAACTGCCACGCATCTTCGGAAAACGTCGCAAAAGCATTGTGCCTGCCACGGAAAACGACTTTCGACACGTTACGAAACACGAAGTGCCACGCCTGCCACGCGAAACGAGGCTACACGACATGTGAAACCCCAAAAGTGACAGAATTTACCATAGACACGGCCATAGCGACCTCGCAGGAACCGTTGCGAACGGTTGCGAACGGCTGCGAACGGTTGCGGACGGTTGCGGTCGTAAACGCGACGTCGAGTGAACACACACTCCACGCCCAGACCCCCAGACCCCCAGAGTGAAACGGGAACCCTTGCTACGCATTCGGGCAAAATCTGTGAAACGGGAGAACTAAAAGAGGACTCTCTGGGATCCAGAAAACATGCGAATTGAAGGAGGAAAGAAAGAAGGTCGACTCAGGGAACGAGAATTTAGACAATGGTGGTCTGCAAAGAAAAAAATTAGCAAAATGGCAAACACAAGTTGAATTGAAAACATGGTGAAGGAAACCAATTTGATTTTGAAAGAACATCATGCAGACAATACATAAGTTGAACTAAAGGAAAACAAAACGAGGGGAATCGACGAAGGGGAAACAGAAAAACGTGAAATCTTACAAACAAGGAGGAATCTGAAATGTTGGGAATTAAATAAGAAAAATTAAGAAGAAGAGAAAGCGGAGAAGCTCAGGCCAAAAGTGAGAATGAACAAAAGGGATAGAAGGATCGGAAGTTAGTTTCAACAAGGAGAAACAGCAAAGCGGATCAAAACGGGAGATTTTTTCAAAAAATAATCATAAACCATTCCCCTATGGAGGCGCCCAAATCATCCATTTTTTTTAGTGGGATTTGCCATGAAACCATCCAGCGATTGGGGTATCCACCAGGAGCTTGGATGCATTGGCGGAGGGAAATGCTTGTCACCGTGTCAGGCCCTTAGGCACTTTGAAATGCCCGTTCTTCGGAAAGGACACAGATCAGATTTTAGGTCCTGTTGAAAGAGTATAGTTGTGGCCCAAACTCATGAGTTTCTCTCAGTATAGGTTAATAGGCATGTATAGGCAACAAGAGCCAAGATGTTGCAAAAATTCAGTGATCCATGTACCAAAGTGCATCCAATGTGTGTCTTTTTAGTGTTTCATGATGTTTCGTGATGTTTCATGTTTCGGGCAGAGACCCAGGCATCTCCACTTTGCGGTGGTGCCTGTTGGTTTCATCCTTGCTGATCAGCATCATTTCCTTGATCCTGGGAGTCCAAAGCTTTCGAGTGTCGGAGGGTGAGATTCAGATCTTTGAAGACGCTTGGCTGCGCTTGGCTGATGAGAATCCGCTCCCTTGATCCAAGCAAACCACACAGAAACTGAAGATCACTGAAGCATTGATATTCATTGAAATTCGTTTTGAAAGCTGGATTTTGGAAAAGACACTGATGAATCTTGATGAAACGTGAGGGTTTGACAAGATCTTGATAGGACCTTAAAAAAGGATCTCACAGTGGCAGGAAGATTTGAACCTGGGCCGATTGCAGAAGTTGCGAAAGGAGATCTTTCCGGATTCCCCGGGAGATTACGAGAAGGCGGCTTTTTCGAAATAGGGAGAGACCAGATGAGACCAGTTTGAACCAGAACGATTCAATGGATTTGGTTTGAAGGCAAAATCTACAGGAAACCATTGTTTTTACCATGAAGTATGGGGGGTTCCTGTAAATTTTACCGTAAACCAATCCATTGAATGATAAGAAATTTCCAGCGAGAGAACGATTCCAGGCCATTGAGGTGAATCCACCTGTCCCTTTGCTGCAAATCCGGCAGATGTGGTGAATGTGTTTGAGAGATTTGGGGGATACCATCTGGTTATTTAACATAGCCATGGAAAATGGCCCATTTATAGATGATTTTCCAATTAAAACCTCCATTTAGAAGGGATTTTCCATGGCTATGTTAAATAACCAGATGGTATTTCATGTGATTTCAATGAGAAAGATGATGAATGGTGATGATAAAGCCAGATAAAGCCAGGGATTTGAGGGTCTGGTTTTTATGACATTTCACTTGAAGTTTGTGCCCTTTGCTCTGTTTTCTGGATGCCCCTTGACAACTCTAAGGGAAGAACGGTCCGAATTGATGCATGCCCAGGACATCCGAATTCAACGCAATTTTTGTCGGCTCCTTTCCCCATCAAGATCTGCGATTTCGCAGGACAAGTGAACGACACCTGGTGCAGTGGACAAGGCTGTGGTAGGTGATCTGCCGCTGGTAATGTGAAACCGATGTCTGCTGCCAAGCCAGGCATGTGTGATACAACCACCAGCAGCTGCTTGTGTCGCAAGCTTATTTTGCTGTGCTCTGATGTGTCTGTTCTGTCAAGTCATGTCAAGTAGGAAAACCCATGAAAAACCTATGGTTATGAAGCAGATTTCGCACCGAAGCACTGGGGAAAAGCTCCATTGGATGGCAATTCTGAATTGGAAAATGATGACAAATCCAGGAGATTTTGGTTTGGGTCCTCATTTCTGGACAAACCCACTGAAGGTGATGATGGATTTGTTGGACAAGGTTGTTCAGTGGATAGAGCCAATGGAAGCATTCAATTGGTGCTAGACTCAGCACGGCGACGCATCAAGAAGAAACACTGCGAGAGTAAACCTGGTGGGGATGGCGGAACCACAGTTTTTCTATATGATTCTGTCCATTTTTATATTACCCTCTGGTAATTTAACATAGCTGTTGAAAATTGCCATTTATAGTGGATTTACCCATTGAAAATGGTGATTTTCCATAGTTATGTTAGTTTACCAGAGGGTAATTTACTTGTCAAAAGAATGTTTGGAGTTTTCTTCCTTCGAAAAAATGAAATGAAGGCACTGTTTATCATGCGAACCAGGTCTACTTGTCAGCTCCAGACATCTTGGCAGCCCAAGTGGAGGAGCTCGTGAGTAGTGCAATCAGCTGGCCCATCATCCCCATCATATCCTGCTGTGAAATCACGATGTTCCATTCACTGGGTTGGTTTAAGGGAAAATTTTAACCGGAGATTTTCCCATGTTTCATGGTAAAAACCCATGGGTTTCCGGAGTTTCCGGTTAAGGTTTTCCCTTAAACCAATCCAATGATCCATCATTTTCCCATTCCAAATATTCCATGTGACTCCAGGATGTCGATTTCGTCCATGCCCATGTGCTCTCATCTCCAACGTTGACAGAAGTGCCAGCAGATGCACAGCCAGGAGATGGCGACCCATGTTGGCAGGGCCATAGCACTGGATTTGATTGGATCACTGGATGATCAATGGATGGGAAAAAATTGGCAGGAAATCCTGGTTTCTACTAGTTCTACTTCTTCTTCTGTTTTTTCAACGGTATCAGGTTCTCGGATTTTTTTTTTGTAACGGATGACTTCTGGCTGGTCAGCGACTGCGCAGGAAGAGCGGATTTCTTTATGCTGAAACTGGGCTGCAAAGTATCCTTTTTCACAATGGCACCATATATGGCACTAGCCTTCACGCAGCTCCAGGAACCATGGCGACGACCCCGTGTCGTGGGACCTTGCTGCCTCACCAGAGGTGCTATGGCGCCACTGGGACTAGTTAGGTATGAATAATTGACGGTGCAGGATGGTGCGCCCCAGTGATGTTTGTTGGTTTATAAACCCCATGAATACTATCCAGTTATAAGTTGGTTTATAAACCCCATTAACTATAGTATACTGTAGTTATATCTGCCATAAACCATAGTTATGGGAGTTATAAAATGTTATAAACCAACTTAGCGAACAATGGGGCACCACCTTGTGATGGTTCTTTTCATTTTTCCACAACATGTCCCAGAAGTACTAAGTATATATCCAGAAGAGGTATTCGGTCAACCATTGCACAGAGTGGTCACTAGCAGTGTGGCAGGCATCTTGGTTGACTTTCAGTTCCACCATGGGAACTGTGCCCCCTCGAAGCTTTTCCAGGACCAAGATCCATTGGATCCACTGCTGTGGGATCACCCGATTTACTGATGTTTTGTTGCAAACATCTTCTGGTTGGTGGTGACTGGAACCATGGAATTTTATGACTTTCCCATCATATTGGGAATTTCATCATCCCAACTGATGAACTCATATTTTTCAGAGAGGTAGGTATACCACCAGCCAGTCTTGAACTCTTTGGTGCATGGGCGATCTTCACATCAGTCACTTTCAGGACGGATCAGTCGTATCTCGGCAGAGGGACCTTCGTGGCATCCATGGACCTGTCAAGGAGCGCCCGACGGATTTCCCTGTTGTGGACATGGAATCCCATGACGGATCCATGGTGCTGGCATATATGCTAACATGACTGGGGATATTTGGGGTATATTGATGGTAAATATTGCCATATATTGCCATATATATATATATAGCATACATGGATCCTATGGGAATAGTATGGAATAGTTATGTGGTTCCATTAAAAATTGGACTTTGATCAAGTCCTCCTTTGACACTTTGGTGGTTCCGAAAACCCAAAACATGGTCCACGTTGGGACGCCAGGAAGCCATTCGCCTGGGAGGGAACGACCACCCTAAGAGTGTCGTCTCCGAACGGAGCAGAGGATGTGTCCATGACAGCGCTGGTGGTCCCTGGGCGCCTACGGGTTAGTAACTGGAATCCTACCGGGATCCGATCTGCAAATCTCAGTGATTCATGTAGCTTGTAGAATCACTGGGTTTAAGGGAAAATTTTAACCGGCAACCCCTATATTTAATGGTAAAAACCCATGGGTTTCCGGTGTAGATTTTCCCTTAAAGCAATCCAATGATAGAATCTTGTAGATTCGTCCTGGGACTAAAGCTCCAGGATCCATCAGGATCCTATCTCGACAGTCCTGGGAGTAAAGCTGTTCCCTCCAGTCCTTTGCGCGCGGAACGGGGTTGCCTTTCACCATCTCTTCCAGGTTTCTTCATGGATTTTTCGGTTGATGTGTCGCATCAAAGACATTTCCGTTGTTTCTGCCATCTTCCCCGGCCCCATTTTTTTTCAAAGAACCTGCTTTTGGACATTTTCTTGTGGTGAGGTACCTCCAGCCTCTCTAACAGAACTGGTGGTGTCGGAGTGGAATTCTGCCGCAACGCCAGTGCCGGTGCAACCGGTGCGGCTGCAACCGCCTTTTTCGATCTCCTATGGCTTCAGTGACTCGGCTCTGTGTTTTGTAATTGTTGTTTGACCCCAGAGAAAGTCATATTATCATAATATCATGGTTAAATATTCATTATCCCCTCAGTATATCCTGAATATGTCAAGATTGTCAAGGGAGACTCAGAGATTCGGAATATGTTCCATCATGAAATCATGGCATATCACCCCAGTTGCCAGCAACATGATCTGGAGGAGGCCTCAGCCGAGGCGCCAATGTATCGGAGAATCTCTTGTTGAAAGACTTGTACATCACCTACCAGGCCAGAGAGTATGGCAGCTGTACCCCAAACCGATTCACACTATTACTTGTTATATGATATATGTTTTGAAATGTTTTAAATATATGAGTACAACTATAAGAAATCATCCATGAAAACATTTGAATGCATTTGCAACCAGCAAGTGAACCAAACCTCATGGTGGGTCATGTTTCTGAGAGGATCCAGTGGTTGTTTCCAAACTTTTTGAAATTGCGCAATATAGGCAACCACTAAATCGATATCTGAGGAGCCCAATGACATCTGTATTCTGCCAGATCCTTGTTGGTTTTATAAACAAACCACTGAATCATTTCATTTGTGTGCAAAGGTTTCAATTTTTGCATCCTGCATTCATGTAAAGTGACTATCCGTATTTTCTTGGTGTGGGGGGGCAGGGTGTTGAAAGAATGCATCGCAGATTTATGCGTCCATTGTATGATTGCCAAGGACTATGGATGAGTGTAATGTCCATGTTTCCGAAGACACCCCCTCTGGCAAGTTGAATTTGGTACATTTTGGCATGTGCCGTTTTTTTTTCGGAAGGGCAACGGTGGTTTCTCATGTCTGCCAGTATCTGCACTGTTTCAAAGGAAAATCTGCAGAAAGACGCCATGTCATGGTGAAGAAATGGCCATTTTTGCCGTTGAGAAACCCCAATGATAAAAACCACGCCCTCTCCCATTATACCCATGCATATCCCCATCATATCCCTAGAAAATCCCAAAGGATTGCTTCAAAGCCCACGAAAAATTGGGATCCAACATCAACAAATGGGTTTGCCTGAAAATCTGTTACCCCGCAAATTTGAAGGTGAATCATAATTTTCCCTTATTTTTCATTGAAAATGGGTATCACCATTTTCAGACACACCCAAATGGGATATGTTGGTGAAAAATTCCATGAAACCACTATTTTTCCTCATTTTCATGTCAACAAATTCCCATCTCCAAATTTTACCACTTCGATGGTCTCATAGAGGTGATGGTTTTGGGGCTATGACCACCCTCTGGTTATTTAACATAGCCATGGAACATGTCCCATTTATAGATGGTTCACCTATTAAAAATGGGTGGTGATTTTCCATGGCTATGTTAGTCATAACCAGATGGTAAAGGTTTTTGTTTGGTTTTTTTTTGTGTTTCGGTATGGTCACTTGGAATCCAGGTCGAAGTTCAAAGCCCAGAGATTCTGCTCCAAGTCACGGCTATCCCCCAGCACCGTGTCCTGATGGACGGCCTCCCGCGGAGCTCCGCGTTTTTGGCGTTGCCGGAGGTCACGCGAAGGATTCCCATCCAGGTGCGCTGAAGCTCCCATGATTTTTAGATGATGAAGTTACAGGAAGCAACAAAAAGGTGCCCCAACATGGATTGAGAAAGCCCGGAAAGCAGATTGCTAGATATTGGTTCTAGTATGTTCTAATTATCAATTTTAGATTGAAAGTAATTGTGCATGAGATCCAGATGCATGGTCACCCGCAGCTTCGCCCAGTCAAAAGTAAGGTGCTGTTGCCCGTGTTTCCTACTGTGCAAACGGTTTTGCATGGTAGCGGAGCGGTTTTGACTGCTGCTCCGCTTGGCGTAAGCCCTGTGGCGAAGTCCCAGGCAAACCGGAGTGGATGAGACAACGAGCTCATCCTTCGAGACAGCGTGGGTCATTGGAGAGCAGAGTACAATCGGCAGGTGGCATCTCATTACAGGGAACAGCTGCATCAAGGCAACAGTGTGGTTCGATTTGTCGCCGGGTTTCGGCGGGGTTTTGGACCCTTGGGCTTGCAGTGCTTGTTTTTCTGGGATTTGCAGGTGTTATTTTCCTGGCAGAGATCATGTCGGCACCACCACAACAGCCGATGGATCTTCAGGTGATTGCTCAGATGTTGGAGCAGATCGCCAAGAGCCAGGCCGATCAACAGGGCCAGATTAACCAGCTTGGGGCTGCAGTTACGGCTTCTGGACAGGTGGTTCAGGGAACTCAACAGACAACAGAGCAAGTGGTCACGGAAGTTGTGCAGCAGGTGCAGCAGGCGTTTCAAGCTGGGAACCAGGCTCACCAAGACCAATTGACCCAACTCGCACAAGGTTTTCAGACGGAACAGCAGTCTCAGCAACAACAGATCCAACAGATTGCGCAGGCGATCAACGGGCTTCAGCAACAGGTGCAGAATGTGTCCAATGCGACAGCTGCAGCTATGGGTTCAGGCGGAGTACAAGGTGTGGCGTCACCGCCGGGCTCACCACCACACCCCCCACCAGGAGGTGGCGCTGGAGTTGTGGGGTCGCCCCAAGTCCCTGGAACAGGACAACAGGTTCCAGCTCAAGATGGTGGTCAAGGTGGCGGTCTTCCACATCAAGGTGCAACAAGTTCCGGCGTGCCTCCAATGCCGGGTGGGCCTCCATTGACAGGTGGTGGTGGTGGACCTCAGATTTACAATATGAACGGCGGTGTGGGTTTTCAGAATGCCGCCGGAGGTGCAATGAGTCCAGCAGTAGCATATGCAATACAGCAGGGTGGTGTGGACAACAGGGCTCTTGGGAAACCACCGACCTATGATCCCTCGAGCACAAAGGTTTCATTTCAGGATTGGTCAGACCATGTGATCACAGTTTGTGATGGAGCTATGCCTGGAATCTTCGAAGTGATGGAGTGGGTGGTCAACACTCAGCCTCGGCGCAATTTGGATGCTGGGGTTTTGAAGGTCACCTTCCCTGGGATTGATGGGCTGCTCATTGACTATGCTGAGTCGAACGTCTATGCCATCCTGAGCACATACACCACTGGAGAAGCAAGGAGCCTAGTCAGACAGGCTCGTCGGCCTCATGGGATGGAAGCTTGGAGACTTTTGCAGATGCGTTTCAATCCAGTTACAATTGGCAGGCAACGTGCACACCTCATCAAGATCACCAACCCGACAGAGAATGTGCCGTTGGAAAAACTTGGAGCTGAGATTGTTTCATGGGAAAATCGCATCTGTGATTTCGAGAGCAGACCGCAGTCAGACAAGGTAGCAGACAGTGTGAAGATGGCTGCACTCACTGCAATGTGCCCGAATCGACTGAGGGAGCACTTGCAGTTGAACGCATCAAGGTTCACCTCATACTATGATTTGCGGGAGGAGGTCTTCAGCTTTTTAGATCATGTGATGCCAGCCGCCGTGGCACCAATGGACATCGGTGCTCTCAATGTTCAAGGCTGTTGGGATTGTGGATCTACGCAGCACTATGCCAGAGATTGTCCTCAGAAAGGCAAAGGCAAAAAGGGCAAGTCGAAGGGTGGCAAGAACTTCGGCAAGGGCAAATCTGGTAAAGATGGTGGCAAGAAGGGAAAAGGCAAAGACTTCAACAAAGGCAAGGGCAAGAATTATGGTGGCTATGATGGCAAGGGTGGAAAAGGCAAGAAGGGCCAGGAGTTCAAGTCGCTCAATTCAGTGGCGGCAGATCCGAGGCTGGGGCAATTGCAGTCGGCCTATGCAAAGGCTGCGATGGATGCCTACAACAGAGAGAGAAGTGTGCCAGTTGTGGCGCCAACAATTGCTCCACCACCGCCGACGGGCTCCAGTTCTTCGAGCTCCGGGGCTGTGGTTCCATGTCAAGCTCAGCCCATTGGTGGATTGGCCGTGAAGAGCTTGTTTGCCATCAGTCGCCGAGCCTTGCAAGTTGTGGCGGACTATGAGGCTGATCCTGAGAGGTTCGTCCGCTCATATGAGTCAGATTGGAGATTGACGAGGATGATGCAAGGGGCTTACATTGTGGAGGCCACCATTGACTCAGGGGCAGCGGCCTCGGTTTGTCCTCCCGATACCTTTGCAGGGTATCCACATCATGCTCCAGATGATCAACAGTACTTCATGGCTGCGAATGGGGATCTTGTTCCAGAGCTCTACAAGGTTTACCCAGTGATCGCCACGGAAGAGGGCTTTGTCAGGCAGACCCAGTTCAGTGTGGCGAATGTGAACAAGATCTTGGTCTCAGCAGCTCAGATTTGCAATCGTGGGCACAGGATCATTTTGGATCGCCCTGGACGTTGGTCCTACATTGAGGATGGAGACACTGCAGAGATGATGATGCTTCAGCAGAAAGACGGTGTCTATGTGCAGAGGTTTGCGGTGATCCTGCCCAGGAATGTGGGTTTTCAGGGGCCGGCGCCTTTCATTCGGCCCAGGCCATTGTAGCTGTAAGTCCCCTGGATGAACATACCCAGCTCAATGCAGTTGATGATGTTCCAGGTGACGATGGTGCAGATGTGGACGGAAGTGAGCCGTACGAAGCTACGACTCCCAGAGATGGTCCGGCTGATGAGGAACCAGGTGGACTGCAAGGTGATTTTGAAATTGATGTTCCTCAGGAATTTCTAGAGGAGGATGAGGACATCGTTGTGCATGAAGAGCATGAAGAGGCAGTGGAGAAAGCGGGGTTGCCATCGCCTTTGCAACCTACAGCTCAAGAGATTGAGGAGCACTCCATTGCCCACGTTCCGTACAGAAGCTGGTGTGAGCATTGTGTTCGAGGTAAAGCTAGGACCTCAGCACATCCTACCAGTGCCGGGCCCAAGTTGGAGGAGAAGAGGGCGACAATCGCCATGGACTATTTCTACTTGGGCAAGCATGATGAGGGCAGTTTGCCCATCCTTGGTGTCGTTGAGGAGTTGACGCAGAGATGTTTCTCAGTGACTCTGCCGAGCAAAGGCTTGGGACACCAATACAACCTAGCCAAGTTGGAGAAGTTGGTCAAGGTGCTTGGAGTCCAGTTTGGTGTTGTGAAGAGCGACACTGAAAGGGCTATGGTGGTACTTCGGGATGCAGTGCAGGCTAAGTTCCCAAACCTCAGCAGTGAGAATGCCACGAAGGGTGAGAGTGCTTCCAATGGGTTGATCGAGGCCACCATTGGAAAACTTGAAGGCCAAGCACGGACCCTCAAAAGTGCACTGCAGGCAAGGTATGGTTGTGAAATTGGGCCGAGACATGTTGTGCTACCGTGGCTTGTTGACTATGCTGGTGCAACATTGAGGCGGTACCAAAGGGGTGCCGATGGAAGGACTGCCTATGAACGCAGCACAAGAAAGCCCTGGCGTTTGAAGTTGCCGGAGTTTGGAGAGGGAATCCTTTATCAACCTCTCAAAGGAGAACGTGCTGGTTCGAAGTTGGATCCAAAATTTGAGAAAGGCATTTTTCTCGGCATCCAGGAGGGCAGTGCGCTCAAGTGGATTGGGACCAATGAGGGCGTGGTGAGAGCTTGGTCAGTGAAAAGGCGTGCGCCAGAAGAGCGATGGAACTTGGAGGAGTTGAATCACATGGTTGGTCTTCCATGGCAATTGAAGCCACCAGTTGAGGCTTCGAAGAAAGTTGAGGCTGGTGGTGGAATCAACTTGGAGGTGGAGTACCAACCGCCAGAAGAGCCGAAGAATGTGAAGGAGAAGCGCAGAAAGGGCTATGTGCCTCGGGGTATCTACATTCGTAAAGATGTAGAGCTCAAGCAGTTCGGCTACACTGAGAACTGCGATGGTTGCATTGCAGCAGAGAAAGGTCTTGGACATCGGCAACATTCAAATGCCTGCAAGGAGAGGATTGCTGAGGCGTTGTCCAAGACAGATGATGGTCGGCTCAGATTGGAGTTGATCAAGAAGCGTGAGGAGGAATACATTGTGAAGTACCAGGAGGAGGAAGAGAAGAAGCGCAAGGGAGAATCACTTGCGAATGCTCCACTGAAATCCACCAGGGTGGAGGAACCATCACTTGAAGATTTGATCGCAGAAAGCGGTCTGGCTGATGACCTTGGTCCTGCAGGTAGCAATATTTCAGGACATCAAGGGGGCCCGGTCGAGAGTACCTCAGCTGATGGCCCGCCAGGAGGAGTTGGGCGCCCATCAGCTGCGGGAATTCCCGGTGAGCCCAGCACAGCCATGGAGGAGGACGTTGAAGAGCAGGGGACTTCACTCCCTGCAATGGACATCGGTGCACTACGAGTCCTCAGTTTGGGTGATGGTGGTACAGAGGTGGATGAACAATTTGTTGCATGTATGAGAGAGGCAAGCTTTGCGGAGGCTATGGATCAGATGGCCGATGAGGAAGTCGCCAAAGTTCAACTTGACTTCCAGAGAGGTGTGATGAGCTTGGCTGCAGCTTATGGCCTTACAAAACCAGAAGTGGCAGAACTGTACTCACCACCAAGAGTCACAGAGTACGGCGAACGAAAAGGGGTCCTCAGTGGGTATGCTTTTGACCTCACCACAAACGATGAGGATGGCAATCCTTGGGACTTCACACAGGCAGGGCAGAGAAAGAAGGCTGCAGACAAGATAGCTCAGATGGAACCTGATCTTTTGGTTGGTTCCCCAATGTGTGGGCCATTTAGCAATCTTCAACACCTCAATGTGAAGACCGAAGAGGATGCAGAGAAACTTCGGGAGAAAGAGATTGAGGGTGAAAAACACCTTGAGTTTTGCGTTGAGCAGTATGAGGCGCAGATGGAGAGAGGTGGAATTTTTCTTCATGAACACCCCAAGACAGCAAGATCATGGAAGAAAGGGTGCATCAAGCGATTGGCTGAGCGTGATGATGTTTTCATGGTCACAGCTGACCTATGCCAATATGGGTTGAGAAGCCGTGATCAGTTTGGTGAAGGTTCAGCGAGAAAGGAGACAACTTTTCTCACGAACAGTGAGGAGATGGCCAATCAGCTCAGTTTGCGGTGCACCAACAGCAGGCAGTCTTTGGGTATTTGGAGACAGTATGATTTCAAGTTGAAGAGAGCGGGTGGTCCGAGAATGTGGGGGCCAAAGCGTTATCCAGTTGTTCGACGGGTGATTTTGGATGTGAAAAATATGGTAGTCCTTCAGGACTTGCAAGATGCGGCCAATGCAACGAAGGAGGAATGGAAGTTTGAGATTCCACGTCATTGCAAAGAAGTTCAAACAATTTTCTATTATGTGAAGCCTGGTTACACTTGGCACCGGCATGTTCCACTCACTGATGGTCGAGCGCGCAACGCGCAGGTTTACCCAGAAGGTCTTGTTCGTGCAATTGTGCAGGGCCTACTCCGTCATCTGAGGAGCAAAAAGGCATGGGTTTGTGGTATCAGTGTGGGGCCGGTGAACCAGGAGAATGATATTGATTTTTCTCTTTTCAACAATTCCAATGATGATGATTGGAGGACATTTGTGGATGAAGTGAGCGGTAAACCACTGAACACCGCCATGGTTGAGAAGGCACGTGAAGAAGAACTCAATTTTGCAGAGCGTTACAATGTTTGGACTTTGGTGCCTACACAAGAATGCTGGGACAATACAGGTGCTGGACCGATTGGATCAAGATGGATCGATATCAACAAGGGTGACGACAAGAATCCATCATACAGATCCAGGTTGGTTATTCAAGAAGTTCGACACAGTGGGATCGAAGCAATTTTTGCTGCGACACCTCCACTGGAAAGTATCAGATTTTTGCTTTTCCCTGCAACGTTCGACAAAAGAGAAGCTGAAGGTCATGTTCATTGACATCCGCCGTGCTCACTGGACTGCACGGATTGAGAGGCTGGTCTATGTCAGACTCCCAGCCGATGTCTGTGGTGGTGATCAATGTGGTCGACTCAACAAGGCCATGTATGGGTGCAGAGATGCGGCTCAATGTTGGGAAGCAGAGATTACAGATTTCTTTACAAGTATTGGTTTTACACCGGGGATTGGATCACCAGTGCTTTTTGTCAATTTGACGCGCAACATCAGGGTTACAATTCATGGTGATGATATCACATCGCTTGGCACAGAGGAGAACCTTTTGTGGCTGAAACAACAGTTGGAGACGAGGTATGAACTGAAGTTCGGAGGTCTACTTGGACCTGATCGTGGCGATGTGAAAGATGCCATGATCCTCAATCGACTTGTCCATTTTGATGTTGATGAAACGACTTATGAGTCGGATCCTCGTCATGTGCAAATCCTTCTGAGTGTGCTCAATTTGAAAGATGCCAAATCAGTGGTATCCCCTGGTGTTAGCAGGAAAGATGAAGAGACTGAACTTTTGGATGCAGCAACAATTTCAAGGTTCAGATCTTTGGTGATGAGAGCGAACTATCTGGCTTTGGACAGACCTGACATCGCTTACGCAGCAAAGGAGCTAGCGAGACGAATGAGTGCTCCTACAGTTGATGATTGGGCTGGTTTGAAACGGTTGGTTCGTTATTTGAAGGGTCGTCCAAGACTCGTGTGGTTTTACAAACAACAAGAAGATCCGGGTGAATTTTGCATGTTTTCGGATTCGGATGATGGAGGTTGCAGCAAGACCAGAAAGTCAACCTCAAGTGGTGTGCTGATGCATGGGGCTCATCTCATCAAAGCCTATAGCAGCACACAACACATCATTGCAATGTCATCTGGTGAAAGTGAGTTTTATGCAGGAGTTTGTGCGGGCGCTTCATTGATTGGGGCTCGCAGCATGGCTGAGGACTTGGGCTGTACCAGGTCAGGCATTTTACTTTTTGATGCAAATGCAGCGAAATCAATGTTGACAAGACGTGGATTTGGCCGAGCAAAACACATACATCGTTCTTACCTCTGGCTGCAACAGCGAATCAATGAGAAAGACATCAGACTGCAGAAAGTGGGGACAAAGGTGAACCCCTCGGATCTGGGCACCAAATTTCTGGAAGGTGTCAGAATCCAAGAACTGTTGCAGATCATGTCGTTGAGGTACGAAGACGTCGAACATCGAATGACGCTCCATGTATAGATGATTTCATCTAAAGGTGAAATCAAGGGGGCCTGCATGAGATCCAGATGCATGGTCACCCGCAGCTTCGCCCAGTCAAAAGTAAGGTGCTGTTGCCCGTGTTTCCTACTGTGCAAACGGTTTTGCAAATTGAAATCCCTCAGCATATTAGTCACTTTCAATCTAAATCCCTCTACGTTGCTTTTCCATATACAGTTTTGGACTTGCAGTAAGTGCACCATGTAAATGTAGATATCAAGTGCTTGCCTGCGTTGATGATGCGTTGATCACAATGTTCATACTATTGACCTCTGGGCGTGCCTTCCAAAGCTTGGACCGAGTGACTTTGCTGCCCTCCATACTATTTCCGGTGGATCGGTTGTCATGAGGCGTACCTGTCAGCCTTCATGGACGAACATTTGGGCCTACTGTGGGCTTTACATGGGCCCTTCTAAGTTTCATCATTCTTCACGAAAAACTCTATAGCTGAAGTTAGCTGGAGTTGGATTTGCTTTATGAATTGGGAGCAGATTGGACGCAGCTAACGAACTGTTTTTTGATGTCGAAGGAACCGTCGAACGGGGCCTTTCGGGGCCTTCGGGGCCCCCTGTTCGGCGTGAACCCCGCTGCGTCCAGCTGGGATCTGCTGCGTTTCATCTGTGAGCACGCGTTTGCATGCCCATGCGCACACACACATATATATAATTATATATTATATGTGATATATATATATACAAGATGATATTCACCGTGAGTGTTGTGAATGTAATGCAGTGCAATTAACACAATATAATGTAATGTAAGGCAATCAAAGCTAATCTAATGCAATCTAATGCAATGGAATCTAAACGAATGCCATGTAAGCTAGTCTAATGTAACGTGACGTAACCTAATGTAATGTAATCTACTCTGATATGATGTATATATATATATACTTTGATGTATTCATCAAAGACATATATGTATATACAATATGTCACGGACAGGAATAAGGAAGGAAAGGCTGAGAGAAAGAGGTTCAATCAGATAGCTGCAAAGTGGCTCAACCGAAGCGCGGTTGGGGCACTTTGTGTTTGGCACGTAGGGTACTAGGAGCGTAATGTTGACGCTGGATGTCAGGCAGAGGGTTGTGGAATGATTATGGTGCATGCGAGCTAGAATATCATGATACGCGTAGTTTATTTTAAGCCAAAAGATGACATTCAAAAGGTCGCGCCTCATATTCTCTCAATACACATCTCTCCTTGCCCAACTAGCTTTCGTCCCCTTCCCTTTGGCCTCAAGTCATACAGATGGTGCTGATCAATGGGAAACCAGCTGTTGAATCTTGATGTTGCCTGGAAGTCACTCCTTCGATTTCGCAGCGGAAAAGCAGGTCCTGTCGGCCTTTCAAAGCACTACCTACATCCTGGAGGCTTCGAGGTCGGTTGCTTTATGTACTCAAAAGCATCGGTTGCTCATTTCAGAATTGTTGGATTCAGCGTGTTTTCATGGGGTACCTGAAAATATCACACACCACTTCACTCAAAACGTCTTTTCCCTCAAGCTTGGAACAAATTTTACTGGATCTGTGTGCTGTAATTTGTTTGGTGCATTTCCTTCAAGCTACAGACTTTGGGCCGAAGGAACTGCGATTGGCCATGTACCACGACAACGTTGACCACCACGTCTGCGACCCAAAGCACTGTCCCCGGGGCGACCACACGAACCATCACCAGCACCAGCAGCACTTGGACGACAACGAAGGATCTGAAGATGTGTTTTTCTCAATGTTTATCATCTTGAAAATCAAACATGATCGTTGAACATCCTATTAGCTACAGGGTTTTGATGGGCAAACCATCATGAATCATATATAAACAAACATGCGAGATGTTCGTTTGTTGTGTTTAACTGCCAATTTGGAACCCCCATGCATGGCCCATGGTTTTGCAAAGTCGGGAGCCGAAGCCGGCCTTGGTGCTGCTCCAGGAGTACGATACTGTGGTCGGAATTATGACTCTCAACGTGCTGAATTGCCCGGCGTTGCAATCTGTGGAAGGTAGGGGTCATTTTTTTGACACTGACTGGTCCTTGTTGGGCTCAGCATCATTTGCAGATGCTATCAAAACATGATCCAAACAGATTCGAGCATGATCGAAGATTTGCTATAACTTCATAAAAATTCCACTATCAAAACTGGCAAACGCTCCGTGACAGGTCAAGTTGCGTTAGAAAGGAGCATGGCTGACATAGCCCAGGTGCGGGAATTCAATGTGTTGGCTTCGCCGCATTGCCACCTGTGCTCAGCTATCTTCAACTGGTTGGTGGTTTGGAACATGAATTTCATTTTTCCATATATTGGGAATCATCATCCCAATTGACTTTTATATTTTTCAGAGGGGTGGCGAAAAACCACCAACCAGTTATTGATGATTTCCCATTTATAGATGATTTTCCCAGCTATAAACCACCATTTATACATCCGGAACTTCGCAGTGAAACGAGTGAAACTGCCATTGAGGTGGACCCCAAGGCCGCGATGGTTGACCTTTGGTGTGGCCGCCGTTTAGGGGTTGATGAAAGGTGCCGTGTGTATTCTGCGAAGATGGGCAGGAGTCAAAGATGGGCCCCCAAAAAAGGGAGCCTGACATGGCTTGACTGATGCGTATGGCGTATGAGTTGTGCATCAGTTGTTTTGTGTTTTTGATGACATGACATCATGACACATATGAAAATGATGAAACTAGCCTACCATCTAATCGAATCTAATCATCAAAAATTGATTCCACGCATCCACCATCAACCCACTATTTAATCCGCCACTAAATGCCCACTATACCCTCGGTTTCATACACGCTTTGCAGGCGACTGCAGGTGGTTGGAGCTGAACTTCGCTACAGCATAGCCACTTGGCGAAGCCTGAATTGCTGTGCTCCCAATGTTTCAGGGACTTTGGAGGTAGTTTGAATAAACCTTGAGACTCAACCATCGGAAGGGGAATAAATTGAATAAATGCTGTGAGTAGATGTTGGGAGCCACAGGTTGTGGAGCAGTTTGCATCAAGCGCGGTGGTCCAAAAGTTGACGATGGAGAACGAGCAGAGCATGACACAGAAATTGCAGGTGCAGCGTGGCCTGTGAGCAAGCATCGCCTGTGATTGTAATAGGCTGAAATGTGGAACATGAACTGCTAGTGGGATGCTGGAATTGGGCCAAGAATAATTCATAAGCGGAATTGAAGCAACATTACCCACAAGTAGAATACGGCAGTTTTTTCAAGCCGTAGCATGTTTTCTTTCGGTACCTCTTTGATCGATCCCACAAACTTTCAGGCGTTGTGTCAGTTCAGGTTCTTGATGGTTAGCCCACAGCCCGTTCCACAAAATGATGTTTGAAGCTGAAATACCACTTCAACCGCTTAACCGAGCAACTTAGGAGTGGAAATCCACCATATGTTCACCCATTTTCCTCAAAGCACCTGGCCGTTTCCCATTCAAAATGTGGCATGTGAGGCGTCCGTGGATGGGACATCCCTGGTGGTGCAACTGAAGGTCTTGTCACTCGAAGAGCCCGAAGTGAATCCCGTGTGACGCCCAGGAAATCGAAGCCCTGGCTGTCACCATTCGGAACTATTGAAGAATATTGATGAATAGAAATCAGGATAAATCACATCTTTTCCCAGGTTGTTTTCAGAGTTAAAATAATCATTTTTTGTCATCCATGGTATGCAAGTCTTGGGTGATCAAGATCTGACAGATTGACTTGGTTCAGGATTCCACAACAACAGCTGCCTGGCAGTCACAGTTGGTCATGGTCATCTGAGCAACTTGAAGCTGCCATCCTCCTGATGTTCAACTCCTTCAGGGTGAACCAAGAGTTGAGCCAAAGTTCCATTTTTATCTGAATCCTTTGTGGCCTTCAGAAATATTTGGCACTGCAACTGATGCAACTGAGGTCACAGTCAGCTCAACTCGTAGAACCTTGACTTCCACCAGCAGCCTGACCACCACCTTGAGCATCACATCCAGTGACAGCACAGTCACCAGCACATCGCTGGAAGCTCGGCTGCTGGGAATGGCGAAAAGTGGATTACGTGGGAAAACGCTGGGCACTTTGAAGTTGTTTTTCCTATTTTTTTTCAAAAAAGGTGGATGATTTTGGTGATTTTGGCTCAGCTTTTTCCAAGGGAGCTTCAGATCCCGCTGCTTGCGTTGACTTGATGATCATCGAGGAACATCAGATCCCCTGAAGGGAATCGGATGATTAGGAGGGCGGCTTTCGTTAGTAAGACCGGCGTGCAACCTTGAAAGGGGGACATTCATTTTAGCGTAGGATACACATTTTAGCGAAATTGGGATACCAATCACAATTTCGAGTATCCAATTTTTGACGGCATGGCCAAGGCCTCTGCCACCAGTCTCACGACTTCGACCTCCCGAAGCATCACCAGCACTGGATCCACCAGCACAGTGCCCACATCGTCCAAAACCAGTAGCTTCACCGTCAGCAGCACCAGTCGAAGCTCCAGCCGCACATCGACTTCCAGCGAGTTCACTTCGGTCACTTCGGTCACTTCGGTCACTTCCACTGTGACCTCCAAAAGCAGCACAGTGACCACAGTGACCACAGTGACCACAGTGACCACAGTGACCATAGTCACTGGGACTACCAGTGTCAGTAGCAGTAGCACGTTCACCACTGCAACCACTGTCACAGCAACCGCAACGATTCAAGAAACGACGCAAGCCACAAGCAGCCAGGGGACTGAGGGAACCACTGGAACAACGGGAACCACTGGAACTGGAGCCACAACCAGGGTGACTAGCACGAGTCCCAGCTCAGCCAGGGGCCCAGTCAGTGAATCAGCTGTGAGAAGACGAAGATCTCTGGTTGTCGCCATGTCATTTGTTAAGGTGACATCGCTGCTCGGCTGCAGTGGAGAGCCACTAGAGAACCACCCATTCCAAGGATGCCCACTTGGACCGAGGTTGACAACTACATCCGTGCAGAGCGAGAGCACCTCAACTGGAAATGATGGAAATGCGTCCGACACTGCAAATGAGACGAATGAAAGCACAAGTTCGAGCACTACAAGCACCAGTACTAGCACAAGCACAAGCAGAACAACAAGTAGCACGAGTACCACAAGTACAACCAGTTCGACGTCCACAAAGTCTGTGACGTCCTACACCACCACCACGCACACCACATCAAGCATCACTGCAACGTTTCTGGAAGGCTTTGACTACATCTCGGGTCAGGTGCCAGTGCTTCATTGTCATTGCCATGTTAGTTTCTGCACGCCATAAACACCTCATACTGGTATGGAAGTGCATAAACGCTGTGCATCTAAGAGGAAAGGTTGAGTTGTGCAGATGATTTTGATTGGACGCATGCATTCTCTTAACTATGCCTGACTGATGGTGAATCAAGGTTTCTCAATTGAATTCGTTGAAGGACACATTAGCAGGACGCCCCAACGAAATTGGGAGGTAAAAACATGTAAAAACAAAAAACATGGGGGGGATTGGGGTTCCTGTTAATTTTCCCCCAGCCATTGAGGTGGAAATTCTGGTGTCTGATTGCGCGGCAGTTCAAAGTGACCTGGGTCGGGAAGTGATGCGGCAAAGCATCGCACAAGCAGCAGAGGCCGGAGAAGTTTCCAACAGACCCGTTTCGAGGCACTCGTTTGTTCAAGAGAAGTTACATTGAAGTGCCTTGTAAAGAGTGAAAACTGTAGAAATGTGCAATTCATGAACAAATCCTTTGAGATTCCTTTCAGACTCAAGTCACTTCAGTTCAACGAAGAACATCTTCCCTTTCCGAGTCAGCCAGGTGAACGCCTCCTACATCACAGTGGACATCCAATGTGAGGCTGTGAAAAGATTGGATTGATAAATCCAAAGTTGCAGGGCAGCATGGTCATCCCAATAGAAGGCCCAGTATATACATAATATGATATATATATATCAATATAATGATATATATATATTTAATATTAACTATTATTAATATATATATATAATATATCTACGCACATAAATTCCAATGAAAACAATAAAACATCATTAAACACCTTGGAAAAACAGTTGTTTTGTTGAAGTTTTGGGTACTCGCTTATAGTGAACTCACCCCGCCCGATCCAAAATCTTGCGTTTAGTTGGGGGGGACTTCCCGGGAAAGTCGCCCCAACATGCGTTTAGTTGCTGTGGGGCAGTTGCGTAAGATAGAAAACGCTGCTTTAGAAGTAAATATTGCTTCATTTAGCTGGTGTTTACACTGGTGAACTTGTTTTTTGTCATGCCTGGCTCATTCATGTGACCTTCGAGCAAATCCAGTCACGTGTTTACATGTCGCCCTGCTGGGGGGGTGCCTTTCTAGAGTAGTTGCATCGATTCATCTAATTACAGTAGATGCTGGCCTGCAGCTAGGCTGTTGTGGGGCTGATGCTGGACTGCTGCTAAATGGCTGCGGGATATCACCACGGGCAGCGTGCAAACTGCTGCTGAGCTGCTGCCAGACTGCTTCTAGACTCCTGCCCAGACTTGCTGCCGGCATTGAGTATACACTTGACACATGTCATGTGGGAGACCCATTTGGACACCAAAATTTAACGCCAAAGTTCAAAGGCGGCGGGCGTGGGGCGACGACTTCAGCTTACCGTGGCTTATGCGTCTTATGGAATCCAATTTCCACCGGAGAGGCCAGGCTTGTGGTTTCATGAGATATTTTTCCCAATGTTTGGAACATGATTTTAGAACGGACTTCAGGATAGAAAAAATACGCACCTCGGGATTGCAACTGTATACTCCCTGGGCAAAAATATGGATATGTAACGTGCGCCTGTGGCGGGGGCAAGAACAAGATTTGGCTCATGTGTCATTTGGTTTGGCGACCTTTTTCAACAGCCGAGGATGGAGCAGTGTTTATTGTCTCCAAACCAATCATGTCATTAATGCATCGTTCATCCGCCAAAATGTTTGAAAAATAGGTCAAGAGCTGGTACAGATTCCATTTTCCATGACTTTTTCCTTCATGTTTCCAGGTCGGAAGAGCTGTTTCCAGGGGCCATGGTGAAGTTGGAGACACAGCAGGCATCGCTGCAGGCTTCGCTGGACACTGCACTGGCCGGGACTGGTTGGCACCTCAGAAGTCTCTAGGGTGAATATCAGTGGACAAAATTTGGTTGAAAATCTTCGGATATGTTTCAGTATCTATTTGTATCTATGAAAGTAGAAAACCAATTTTGATTGGATGATAATTTTCAGTCTCACATCAACCAATAGAAAATTAGATCCATTTTGGCATCCAAATCTGTCAAATTCTGAGACATCTTTTGACCAGTAGTACCGCACAAGGCGGTGGCGGAAGTTTCAAAAATAGGAAACCTATAGGAGAGATTGGTAGTTGTGAATCACGGATGGCAGAGCAAATCCACTGATGGACCGAAAGGCGGTTGGAGCTGTGTTTTTTGGAGTGGCTGCAATGGTTGCAGTGGTCACGTGGTCGGCCACCTCACCCACAACTGCTAGTGTGGTGTAGTGCAGCTGTAGTTGTAGTTGTAGCGTAGTGGAGTTGTAGTTGTGGTGTAGTGTAATTAGTGTAGTGTAGTTGCAGTTGCATGTGTGGTGGTGTAATGAGTGTAGTGTAATGTAATGTAATGTGATGCAATGTAATGTAATGTAAAGGAATGTGGGGTAGGGTAGTGTAGTGTAGTGTAGTGTAGTGTAATTGAGTGTAGTGTGGTGTGGTGTAGTGTAGTGTGGTGTAGTGTAGTGTAGTGTAGTGGAGTGTAGTGTAAGTGTAGTATCGTTGTAGTTGTAGTTGTAGTTGTAGGTGTAGTGTAGCGTAGTGGACACGTAGTGTAGTGTAGTGTAATGTAGTGTGGTGTAGTGTAATTGAGTGTAGTGTAGTGGAGTGTAGTGGAATGTAGTGTAGTGTAGTGTAATGTAGTGTAGTGTAATTGAGTGTTAGTGTAGTGGACCGGAGTGTAGTGGAGTGTAGTGCATTGTAATTAGTGTAGTGTAGTGTAGTCTTATGTAGTTGTAGTTGTAGTTGTAGTTAGCGTGATGTAGTGTAATGTAGCATAGTGTAGTGTAATGTCATTAGTGTAGTATAATGTAATGTATTGTAGTTGTAGTTATAGTTGCAGTTGTAGTTGTAGTTGTAGGTGTAGTTCAGTGTCATTCAGTGTAGTGTAGTGTAGTGGAGTGTAGTGTAGTGTAGTGGAGTGTAGTGTAAGTGTAGTATCGTCGTAGTTGTAGTTGTAGGTGTAGGGTAGTGTAGTGGAAATGTAGTGTAGTGTAGTGTAATGTAGTGTAGTGTAATTGAGTGTAGTGGAGTGTAGTGGAATGTAGTGTAGTGGAGTGGAATGTAGTGTAGTCTAGTGTCATGTAGTGTAGTGTAGCGGAGTGTAGTGTAGTGTAGTGTAATGCGGTGCAGTGTAGTGGAGTGGAGTGTAGTGTAATGTAATTGACTGTTATTGAGTGTAATTGAGTGTAGTGTAGTGTAGTGGGGTGTAGTGTAGTGTAGTGGAATGTAGTGAAGGTATAGTTGTAGTTGTAGTGTCGTGTGGTGTAGTGGTGGTTGTAGTTGAAAATGCTACAAATTTTCACGTTTTGCTCACTTTTGACAAGGGCACAATCCCTTGCGCCTGTAACGCGAAACGGCATCTGAACGTCCAAAAGTGGTCCGACCCCTGGTGTTTTAAAATTTTGACTTCGAAATGTGCTTCGCGCCACAACGGCGTGCACTTTTTCGACATCTCAACTTCCAAAACTGGTCCGGAGCTGAAGTGTTTTGTACATTTTGACTTCGAAATGTGCTTCGCGCCATAACGGCCTGCACTTTTTCGACATCTCAACTTCCAAAAGTGGTCCAATTGCGAGGTGTTTTGAACTCTTTCACTTGCAAATGTGCTTCGCGCCACAACGGCGTGCACTTTTTCGACATCTCAACTTCCAAAACTGGTCCGAACGTGAGGTGCTTTTAGTTTTTTCATTTGCAAACCTGCTTTGCGCCACAACTGCGTGCACTTTTTCGACATCTCAACTGCCAAAAGTAGCCTGGACCTGGTGTGCTTTGTACATTTTGACTTCGAAATGCGCTTCGCGCCACAACGGCGTGCAATTTTTCATCTCTCATCCTACTTTTCGACCCTCTGGAGCCACAAATCATTGGAAAAACACAGTGTTTCGCGACTTTCCTACCTTTTCGCGCACCTGCATCTTCTCTCTTCTGATTCTTTCTCTTCTCCGATCTTCTCTCTTCTGCTCTTCTCTCTTCTACTCTTCTCTTCTCTCTGACTCTTCCCATCTCTGCTTTTCATTTGTCCATATTGTCGGAAGTTTGACTTCTAAACTTCCTTCGATATAACTTTTTGAAAAACCCCATAATGTGCTTGAATTCAGCAAGGAAGCAGATGAGTTTAGGGGTCCGCATTTTCTGACACACGGCTCTCACACTGGACAATACGTGGAAAACAGGCAGAAATAAGTGATTAGGCTGCACCGGCTATACCTAAGTTTCCCTCATCACCTACCAGCCCTACAATTTGACAGCTGAATAATCTGCACACGTCACGGAACGTCTTTACTTCGGATGCAACGCAGTGATTATTTCTCAGCGGCAGAAACCGCCTCATGTTTTGTTCCAAGGTCTGGTGATGTTGGTCCAAAACATGGAAGTGGTTTCTGGACCACCACCCACGACTTCCAGAGCCTCGACAGGAAAAATGACCCCAATTGGCCCCAACTGACAATAACTTCTTGTCCTTTTTCTCCGCCATATCTTCCTGACAGAGTACACCGCATTGGACAAAGCATGTGGGAATATATCTTGCGTGAGCCCTGGGTTTTAGTCTTCTGATGGAAATTTCAGCACTGGACTCAGGCACTTCAAGCACCACTTTGTGTCCTGGGATGCCAACTTGCATGGGCAAGGGCCGCTGCGAGCAGACTACCACCTGGCAATGCGCCACTGGGAAGAGATTGGTGACAGTTGAGAGAGTTGTTTGGTGATGTCATGACAGTTGGAAGTCTTGGATCCACTGGATACAGCGGTTTGAGTGCCAATTTCATGGCTATTTTCCAACAGTCTGACATCAGAGAAATATTGAATCATAGGGAGTGAATTATAATCAAACCTTCAAAAAACGAAGTGCTTCTGCTTTTGGGATTTTACGCTGCCCGAGCATCACCATCATTCACCATCTCCAGGTCTGTGAGGAAACCTACAGTGCCTGGACATTTCGATTTAGCGGAGGATTTTAAGATTCCCCCAGGAAGATCTGCTGCTAGTTATTTGGGGATATCTGCCATAAACCCCAGTGATAGGTTATCATGATAGGTTCTCATCCCAAGCTTATTATAAAAAAATATGTCAACCAGGTAATGTGAAGCCGGAAGTGATAACCTCTGTTGATGAACTAGGAGGTTACCTGCCAAAAAAGTGATGCCCATTATGGTTGATAACCCCATGTTGCTAAACTGCTGCTTTATTACTCTTGGGTTCAGATTCATTACCAGGGTCAACAGTTAACATCTTCAATGTTCCAAGAACAGGATGGGTGGTTTTCGAATTTCCAGGAAACGATGAGTGAAAATGCCCCAGATCATCTCCAGATCCTCCAGAATCATCAGGTCAGTGAATTTGAATCGATCCCAGTTCCCTCTCTTCCAGAATTTCTTAAGGCGGCGTTGACTGTTCGAATCGAATTTGCCCCAGCTGTCAGAATAATGCAAGTTGCCTGGAAGGGACTCAGGACTGATTTTGGGACGTTCAAACGGGACAGGCAAAGGCGGCCCACTGCGGCAGTGGGGTTAGATGTGGTTAGGCCAGCTGTTTGTTCATCTGCCAGGACCTGGAGTCTTTGTGGGGATGTGGCTCGGTGAAGCAACGTCAAGCTTCTGTGGTTTTGAAGATGTTTGAAGTTAAGGAACAATGTTTGTATCCATGTAACCATGTATTATCCATGTATATCATATATCTATTTCCGTTGTCCTATCTTGTTGGGACTGGCCAGGTGACTGCTCCGAAGCATTCTTTGGCGCAAACTGTGGGGGGTCCAAGTTGAGACCTGGCGAGCTGCGGATCTTTGAGGGCTCTTGTAATCAGCTCCATGGCTAGCTGGAAAACCTCCTTCGATGATTTTTCCATTGACACATCCATTTCTAGGGTAGTTCACTGCGTTCACTGCAAGGGTGAAGATGTTTCGACATCAATCCCAGTAGAAGTTGTCGCTTGGCTGTTTAAGATGTTCGGCTTTTTTTTACACACTAGCAGACTTGGAGAATTTCCAAAATCAGGGCTTTGTTTTTTTTACAAAAAGCTGCAATGATCCAATCCCCCCCTTGATATATCCAGCCTCCATGGTCCCCAGTGGGTATCCCTTCCACCAGGCGAATTATTGCGATGCCCTGGAGATTGCAATGGTGGAGGCGGGTTCAACACATTTTTTTGGGGTATTCTGGGGGATTTTTGCTAAGGATGGACCGGACCATCATTGATAGATTCGGAGATATGTGGTGCATCTTGACTGCCAACTTGAAGCATTGAAGATCTTGAAGATATTGATAGGTGGAACACCGGGAACCATTGGTTACCAACCTTTGAACCGCTCCAGACATACTCTCACATAGAAAAAGCCCTGCGTCACATCGGATGTGGAGGTACCCCATAATCAAAGGGCGGAAACATGAAACGAAGATTTTAAGACTCGACCGCTGTGGTACAACCTGTCAGGAGATTGTAACAATGTCACAGGGCATTGCACCTGCTTGATTGGCTTCAAGGGAGCTGACTGCTCTGTGAAGGATGTGCTCCTGCGGGCTAACACGATTAACAACTGGCAAAGTTCTTGGGTTTTGACCAATGAAAGTGGCTATGCAACTAAAATCACAATAGATTTAACAAGGATGAAGCATTGTCATGTTCAGCCAATATGCAGCAGCCATCACCTTTCTTGGGGAATTCTGAGCAAGTGTGTGCCTTGCCTGAGAGGTACCTCTGACCAACGCCATTGAAATCATCTTAGTTTTCGGACTGAAAGGTTACCAGGCGCTGAATCGCAGCGCGCCGGAGTTTGATCGATCCCTGAAACTTTTGGATCCAGTGGCGCAGGAGATGGGGATGGAGTGGATGTGGATTGCTGTGGAGAAAGTGATCACGGAAGCAGAATGGGTTTACCAAGATTTTTTTCAGAACTGACCATTTTGAGAAGCATTGTATGCTGGATCAATGGAATGCAGATGAACATGATGAACAAATGATAATAAAATTACAATAAATTAGTGTAGCATGATTGTATGAGAGGTCGGATTTGTGGGGAACCCATTCATAAAGCAAGTCTTTTGAGGAGCATTTGCTGAGTGCCTGCAGCGAAGCCAGAGCAACACTCGATCTTCGAGTGAAGGATGAGCCGCCCGTCTTGATCTCTCTGCGAATGTGGGTATGGGTCAAAATTACGTGGCTTGAAAGATTTTCAAATTGAAGCCATACTGTATGGATCTGTATTGTAGCTACAAGGTTTGGAAGTGTTGTGGTCAAGATGATTGAAAAAGATGACTGGTTGGTGGTTTGGAACATGGAATTTTCTAACTTTCCATATATTGGGAACAAGAATTCCATTTGACGAATTCCATCATTTTTTTCAGAGGGGTAGGGCGAAAAACCACCAACCAGATATTGATATATATATATATATATATGCATATGGATGATTTTCCCATTGATAATCATTTATAGATGATTTCCCCAGCTATAAACCACCATTTATACATCCAGATGATTTTTGTTCCACGGTTTTTCATGCCGTCTGACTGTCGATGTGCTAAGGATGCCATGTTGGATCGACAGCCGGGGAATCTCAGTATCTCCGGCCATCCGCAATGTCCAAATGGCGGTTTTCGATGCACCAAGGCTTCAAGACCTTCATGACAGCCCGTGGAGGTGCCAAATCTGCAAGATGAAGTCGAAAAGTTGCCAGTTTTTCGATGTTTTTGTTTTTCATAGGTCTCACTGCTTATACTCGTCATGTATGGCTCAAGAAACAAGCGTGTACATGCTGACTGTTTGTGGCTTGTTAATCTGTCAAACAGGTTATCAGCCGTAAGCTTACTTCTTCCTTTCTAGGTATGTCTGCCCCCTCGGATTCCACCACCGAGGGCACCGGTCGCGTTAACTCCTCTGACCAAGCCATGGCTAATCCGGGGACATTACCTATTAGTAACTTGCCATTCTCTATTGACATCAGCACCCCACCAAGCTCCGACAAATCCAGAAGCTTACGGGAACGACGCCACCTTCCACATTTGAGTAACGCAGTTGTGCCTTCTCATGTGGGATTCAGTCACCGTGGTTTTGTCCCCCAAGCCGCTCGGGAGGGTGGGCCACCGACTCGCCAATTGAACCAGATGAATGTCCATAATACGTTCCAACACAATGTTCATGTTGACAATCCTCAAGTGAATTTTGTCGAGCAGAATTTGCACCTTCATGCACATGATCCTGCTGTGACAAGCCTTGTGGAAACAACGGCCGAACTCCGTCATCGTGAAGTATTGGCCCAGGCCGAAGCCCACGCTGAGGCCGTCCACACGGCAAAGACTGAGGAATTGGTGGAAGCATTGCGAGTCCGTGAGGGCATTGAAAGTCAGAGGGCCTTAGATGCAATGATGTCCAAAGAACAAGAAGTATTGAGAATGGGAGCACAGTATAGGGAGAATTTACAGCATGAGGCGCACGAACATGTAAGGTTCCGAGAAGCTCAAATGAATGAGAAAGTTCAGGCCTACCAACGTGTCATTGATGCTAACCATCGTCAATCACTATCAAGTAAGGAGCAAGAGATCCTTGAATTGAGAAGAGCAGCTGAGGAAGAGAGAAGGGTTCAGAATGAGCGCATTACACAGCTTGAACACATGGTACAAGTACAGATGCAGCACAATCTGAAACTGCAAAGTATGCTCGATTCCCAATTTGCTCAGGTTCGTCCAAGTCCTATTGTCGAAACTGCCGCCATGACTATGACAGCCGGAACCCATGAATCAACGGAGATCCCAAATTTCGAATTTGTTCCACCGACCCGCAAGGCCGCACCCGCAGCACCTCCGACCAATGTAGCCCGACCTCCAATTGCAAGAACGCCGATCAACTTTACTTCACCTGATGCCAAGACTTATGAAAAGGATGGTATTGAAATCATTTATCATGACCCATCATATCGAGTCCCAGTACAAGTGAAGAAGGAGTCGGATGTTGCAAGGTCTTCCGTTGAGGAACGCCCTTCGGGAGGAGAGGCCAATAATCGTCGCCGAGATAATCATCCCATGGATAATGTTAATTCCCCTGCGCCGACCAATCAATATGCCCCGACCGAACTAGGCCCAGATGAAATGGAGCACTTCGAGCCGGGGGGCGATGATGCGCCTGATGGGGACGATCCAGGGGATGGAGGAGATGGCAACGGAGGGAACGGGGGAGGTGGACCACCATCACCACCTGATCCTATTGATAAACATGAAGGGGATAGGAACCGTAAGGCACCCAGAAAAGGTAGGGCTGGTCCCAATCCTCCTGACGGCGGTGATGACGGTGATGATGATCCCGATGATGATGATGATGAGAAGTTCAGGCGAAGAATGATCAAGTTTCTAGGTGGCTACATCGATCCAAGGCATGATGACAAACCCAAGGTCAAGGAAGCTGACACCATCAAGATCCCAGCATTCCCATTGGCAGAAACCTATCGCAATTGGAGAATTAAGACCAGAGAAGCAGTTGTAGCAGCATCAACCGATCCCGACAGTGCTTTCAAGTGGATTAGTGATTCTTGGAAAGAAGAACAGACCCTTGAAGCGCTCCGGAAGGTTGCGCCGTTTGCGACACTTGATGCAAAGTTACTTTCTGCACTCACCAATATCATCACTGGTGACTTCGCCCACAAGGTAGATACCTTCAAGGAGACTGAAGCCACCGCTGGACGGATTGTAAGAGGGAGACAAGTGTTGTTCATGTTACATGACCACTTTAGTACCAACATCAAGCACGGAGCAACCTATGCCCTTCAAGATTTGTTCAGTGTCCAATTGCGCGGGGAGAATTTGAAGTCTTTCATTTCAAACTGGGATCAAGTGTTGGCTGGTATCGTCCAGACTCCCGAAGTAAGTGTATTGGAGACACTCTTCTACAAACAAGTGAAGAATTGTAAGGCCATCCAACATGACATGAATGAGTATCATAGAGCTGATGAAGGAACCGAAAAACGGAACTACAGTTTTCTTGTTTCTGCCGTGCGACGCCACCTTGACCGCGAGAGGTTGGAGGCAAATCGTGATCGAGTTGCCAAAGGTCTTTCGGGTTCCGGTCGTCCCTCCGCTCCCGCAGTCGAGGGCAAGACAGGATTCATTCCCAAGGGGTATTGTGTGGCATGGAATAAGGGAGGCTGTAGCAAGGACAACTGTACTTACAAGCATGAAGTCCCCAAGCCACGTGATAGAAGTCGCAAACCCAGCAAAACCAGAGGTCGCTCAAATGAACGTTCCGGTTCTCCCAGACCAAAGGGGAAAGGTAAGAAGATTTGCAAGTTTTGGAAACAGGGACGTTGCGATAGAGGAGCTGATTGCAAATTCCTTCATGAGGGTTCAGTGGGAAAGCCAAGACAAGCTACTCCTGCCCGTTCGGCCAGTAGCGAAAACAAAAACAAAAAGAAGAATCCCAAGAACCCGAAAAGGAAGGGATCCCGAAGCTCTAGCCGCTCTAAGAGCCCCAAGAGCCCGAAATCCCCGAAGTCTAAAGGATCCGGGGCCAGTTCATCTAAGCCGTCTCCTGCCGCAGTTTGTCTAGTTGCATCCATGCTTGCATCCGTGTCTCAGGCATTTTGTATCCCTCAACCAAGAGTATTTTGTCCATCGATCCGTTTTGATGATTCGCCGGACGTATCCCATGTTAAAGTCCGAGGGAACTTGAGGCCAATTGGAAACGCAGTCACCAAGGATAAGGTTACCTTTCCGTGGGGACATCAGTTTGAAGTTGATCAACTTGCTGTGAATGATGCCGCTTTGACCGGTACCATGTTGGCAGGATCTGTTTCCAATTGTCTTCGGGGAATGGAATGCAAATGTGCCTATTTATGTGACACAGATTTTGGTTGCAATGAATGTATCCCAAAGGGAATCAAAGCCACCCCTGCGGAATGTAGAGAAGACGTGAAGGGAGCGATCAACCTTGAACTTGACTGGATTGCAGATACGGGAAGTGCTCAAGATCTTGTCAATGATAGCGAATTGCCAGATGACTATGGATACTACTCCAACAATCCCATTCGCATGATTACTGCCAATGGTGAAAGTTCGTCATCAAAGCAAGGGAAAGTATTTGTTCCAAAATTAGGCAAGACCATTGACCCATATCTTGTTCGAAGCTCACCTCCTGTCATTTCAGTCGGGATGAGATGCATTGATGATGGTTACGACTTCATATGGAGAGGCTCCAAAGGTGAACCTCCTTACATGGTCAAACCAAATGGGGAACGCATTGAGTTAGTTGTCAGAGATTACGTACCCTACTTTGCAAATAATTCAAAGACGATTTCCACTCCATCAACTCAGCCTAGACCAAGTATTGCCACCCCGGCATCAGATGAAGCTCAACAATCTCCGGAGCCCGATGGGGACATTGAAATCATTGGTGATGACCCCATGGGTATCAATGTTGATTTACCGGAGCCCCAGCCCTTGGAGGCTGAGGAGGTTGATGTTCCTGATGCCGACCGGGAGGTTGAGCCGCCTGTGGAAGGATCCAAGGGTAGCAGTAGTAACGTCCATGATGATGGTGCTCACAAAAGGTCACTTGGGGAAAAGGAATTGAAAGAAGAAGCTAAGTCTATCCGACATATGCTGACTCACATCCCTAAGAACCCCTTTTGCGACATATGTACCAGAGCTAAGATGTTCAAGCCACCCTCAAGAGCTGTAGGCGGATCAACCAAAGTTAAAGCTGAGAAATTTGGTGACCACATCACCGCTGATTTTATTGTCACCAGAGATGAAGATGAGTTGGGAATTGATGAAGAGAAAAGTGCACTCGTGGTAAAAGACATAGCAACAGGATTTATGTATGTCTACCCCAATGCCAGACGAACCACCAATGCTGCTATCTTGGCAATCAAACATTTTGTTGGACATGAAGATAAGATAGGAGTTTTCTACAGTGACAATGCACCCGAGTTGATCTCAGCAATGAAGATCCTTCAGTGCCGTCATGTTTTAAGTAGGGACTACATATCCAAGTCCAACGCCCAAGCCGAGAGAGCGGTCCGGTCAGTTCTTGAAGGCACTCGTGTCAATCTGCTCCAAGCAGGTCTGAATCATTGGCACTGGCCACATGCTGCCCGACATTGGTGTTTCATGCAGAATGTCATTGCAACGGGGGGAGACAAATCACCATGGGAATTACGTTTTGGATCGAGATTTGATGGTCCCCTCATTCCTTTTGGTTGTCTTATCGACTATTGGAATGGACCGAGAAAGAAGAACAAGGATGGACTTCGTTTCGACCCAACATCGAGCCCTGGTTTATTCCTCGGCTATGCCATTCACCCTGAATTTATGTGGAGAAAAGAATTCATGGTTGTACCTACAAAGGATCTTATTGAAAATGAATCCAATGGCACTGCATCAATCCTGCGGGTAATCAAGATCAGCAAACCGAGTGATACGCAATTTCCTCTCCAAGGCCGAACGACTTTTGGGAAAGATGACCCGGGACTTTCCGAAGCTCTGGGGAACCAAGAGCCGGCTTTGGAGGATCAGGATGCAAAAATGGATGATGATGACGAGGAATCCCAGGATGAAAATTTCCAACTATCTACTGCCCATGCTGTCCACGATGAAACATGGCTACCTTTCATGAGACATATAAAAGACCGAGAGGGATGGTACGAATATGCT